ATATGCCATACATCTGTAATCAGAGTAACTAACAAGAGCTGTAAGAAAAGACAGCATGTTTGACTAATTAAATACTGGAGGCAGTGAAGGAAGACAAAACTATGAAAAAAACATCAATTATGAATAATTATCTAATATATTTCTATATCAGTACTTAAATGTTCAATATTTTTGCTCCAAATAATATGCATGTGACCATGTCAATAAACGTTGAACAGACATTTCTATGCTCTAAAGGAAAACAACAATTAAAAATCTTCATTTAATCCCTACTGGTCACTTACGATATTGTTAATAATAATTATATATATTTAACGTTTTAAGTAAACCTCCTATGAAATAAAAACGGTAAATCCTAACATTATTACTTAATTCAAGGGGAGATAATTCTGAAAATATTACTTTTACACTGAATGCCGATTATGATGATAAAGAACATACAAGTTTGAAGTTGAATTTGATAACTTAAATAACAATGAAGTTACATCAAAATATTTTTTAACAGCAAAAATTGATTAATCTGAAATAATCTGGATTCTGACAGTCTAGAGAGGACATATCACAATAGCTATTGTATAGTAAAACGAACAATTTTGTAGATTATATTGGTAAATGAAAAAAAAACTGTCACTTAATGGGACAAAATTGTGATAACTGAAAATAAGAAAATAAAAATAACACAAATATAAAGTGATTTACAGTATCCAAACAAAAAATGTATAAGTTTGTAAAACAAGATCTTTGAACAACTGCAACAACCAACATATGACCAATTATTTCCTGCTAACTTTATTTTACTGATTTTTATGTACTGCCTGTCTAAGTGATGCAAGTGTTGTTCCAATTTCACGTCCTATTTTACCCTTAAGATGTGCACCGGATATTGTAAAGTCAACATCTACATATTCTTCTGCTTTTGTCATATGTTTAGTACACTTTTCATTATATATCTTAAACCTTTTACCAGCTTGTTCTTTGAAATTTGACTTAACATGTACCGTCTCAAATTCTGGAAAGACACTATTGCTTCTATTAAAATAATTTTCAAAATTCAAGGCATACCATATACTCAAAATAGTTGAAACATTTAATGTATTTTTCCCTTTAACTTCATCATATATGAAGATCTTCAAATCATCTGACATTATCAAACTATCCAGCTCACAGTTGTACATAATTATTCTAATATCTTTAGATGTGGCAATAAATGATGGTATAAAGGAACTTGGCAGCACCCGATTCATGTTCACTTCTGAAAACGCATTGACAAGTGTTTGAGCCAATACCTGTGACACTGCCTGATCATTAATTGCTTCTTTTTGTACTTCAGCTACAATACCACTGTCGTAAAATTCATCTGAAGATGAACCTATATCTTCAATACTTTCAGTTCTCATTTTCTTATGCCGTGGTTACCCACTATCATCCTCTTTATCTTTATAATTGTTTGAGCCAATATCTGATACACTGCATGACCACTTATAGCATCTTTTTGTTCTTCTACACTGTCATAAATTTCATCTGAAGATGAACTTACATCTCCAATACTTTCAGTTCTCATTTTTTTATGCCGTGGTTCACCACTACCGTCCTCTTTATAAGCTCTACTTTCTACCTTGACTACCCTTCTTTTCACAAGTATGTCTGCATACCCATGCCACACATCTTCATGACCTGAAAGTAAGTCAAGCACAATAACTCTAAAAGTACTGAATAAAACCACAAGCATACCCTCAGGTGAAAAACTTCACATGCTGATCAGGTCTTCAGGTCATTTTTTTAAATAAAATCTAAACAAAGGTCAATAACTCTACAAATTCAGATTAAATCCCTAAGCAAATCCCCAGGTAAACATCTTCAAATGCTGATCAACAAATCTGTACAGTTTCATGCCGCCAGGTCAAATAAATACTTTTTGTGCTTTTAGCGACAAAAGTTGAAATTGAAAAAAATTACTAAGTAAAGGGCAATAACTTTAAGGCTGAGATGAAAATTGTAAAGTTTAGGGCAATTAACCTTACAAAACTAATGAAATAAATCCACAAGCGAAATCACAGGTACATACATTTTAGTAACTTCACAAGCTGATTATTATTCCTGTGAAGCCTGACGATTCTAGCTCAAGCACTTCAGAGCACTTTTAGTGCTACATGTGACACAACATGAAAACACATGCATGTACTGACAGAAGGACGCACAAGGGCAAATCAACATCCTCCAAACTAAATTGCAAAAAACAATTCATAAAAATTAATGGTCTGAAGAAAACTTAAAATGTCTAGTTATCATATGGAACCAATATTTCTAATTTTAATAACAGTGACCTCAATTCTATGGTACTAAATTTAAAGCAATCCCAAGAAATCTCAACTTAAGCTTGCTTTATTCCAAGTTACCATATCTCATTCCTAGCTCAGTTCTGGAAACCATTTTTTCTATTTTTAGTAACAGTGACTTTGTTATTTATACCAAGTTTGATTATAATTTCTCAAAGCTAACTCTATTTAATTTACGTTTTTTTTTTATATTTTTTGGGATTCAAAAAACAATCCTAAGCAAGATCTTAAAACAAGCTAGCTATACATCAAGTCTGATAACAATATCTCATTGCTTGCTCAAGTTATTGCCTGGAAACCAATATTCTATTTTTAGTGACATTGACATTGACCTTAGGGGTCTAAAAGCAATCCAAACTGGAATCTCCATATAAACTTGCTATCTTCTGAGTTTTATCACAATATCTCACTGCTTGCTCTAGTTATTATCTGGAAACCACTTTTCTATTTACAGTTATGACGACCTTGACCTTGACCCATAGGGATCCAAATGCAATACCAGCCGGGGTCTTCATATAAGCTTGCTATACACCAAATTTGATTACAATATCTCATTCCTAACTCTAGTTATTGTTCAGGAGCCATTTTTTATTTTAAGTAACACTGAAACGGTGACCTTGACCCCAGGGGGTCCAAATACAATACCAAACCAGGTCTTCACATAAGATTCCTACACAACAAGTTTGATTACAATATCTCATTCATAACTCTAGTTATTTTCCGGAAACCATTTTTTTTTATTTTTAGTAACGGTGACCTAGACCTAGATCCCTGGGGGTCCAAATGCAATACCAACAGGGGTTTCCATATAAGCTTGCTATACACCAAGTTTGGTTACAATATCTCATTGCTTGCTCTAGTTATTGCCTGGAAACCATTATTCTATATTTAGTGACATTGACCGTGACCTTAGGGGTCTAAAAGCAATCCAAACTGGAATCTCCATATAAACTTGCTATCTACTGAGTTTTATCACAATATCTCACTGCTTGCTCTAGTTATTATCTGGAAACCACTTTTCTATTTTCAGTTATGACGACCTTGACCTTGACCGACAGGGATCAAAATGCAATACCAGCCAGGGTCTTCATATAAGCTTGTTACACACCATTCATTCCTAACTCTAGTTATTGTCCAGGAGCCATTTTTCTATTTCAAGTTACACTGAAACGGTGCCCTTGACCTCAGGGAGTCCAAATACAATACCAAACCAGGTCTTCATATAAGCTTCCTACACAACAAGTTTGATTACAATATCTCATTCCTAACTTTAGTTATTGTCCGGAAACCATTTTTTCTAACATAAGTCACAGTGACCTTGACCACAGGGGGTCCAAATACAATACAAACCCGGGTCTTTATATAAGCTTACAATACACCAAGTTTAATTGCAATATCTCATTCCTAACAGTAGTAACTCTAGTTAGTTTCCGAAACCATTTTTCTATTTTTAGTAACAGTGACCTTGACCTTGAAGCCAGGGGATCCAAATACGTTCCAACCGGAATCTCCACATAAGGTTGCTATATACCAAGTTTGATTACAATACCTCATTCCAAACTCCAGTTATCATCGGGAAACCATAATGTGGAATGACTGACCAACCAACCAACAAGCTGACTCCTATATACCCCCCCCCCCCCAAACTTCTTTTGTGGGGGTATAATTACAATATCTCATTACTTACTCTAGTTATTGCTCAGAAACTTTGTTTTTTATTTTTAATAGCAATGACCTTTACCTTTACCTTGACCCCATGGTATCCAAAAGCGATCCCATCTAGGGTCTTAATAAAAGCTTGTTATATACCAAGTTTGATTACAATATCTCATTCCTAACTCTAGTTATTGACTGGAAACAGTTATGAATCCAGGAGGATCAATGAAAGAGTTGTTTCAGTCATTGACTTCAAACCACTTGTCCCTCACGGTGACACTGCTGTGAGTTTGAACCTGGCCAGCACCAAGAGATACATGTACATTGCTAGAATTCTAAAATGCAGAAGTAAATTATTGGGTGTGTTATTTTAATTTTAAAGTTATAATTAATAACATACAGTAGAACTTCCATGTGTGGAACAGTAATCTGGTTCAGTTATCTCCCTTTTCTACTCCATTTGTTAACAATGTAAACTCTTGAAACTTTGTCAGCATATTCAGTCCAATATATGATTCTAAGTCCCAAATTGGCTCAAAGTGTTTACACAAGTCCATTAAACTACATTATTTGTTGATGTCCATAGGAAATGCTACTCGCCAACAAATTTAGTTTACCAAACAAAAAGACTAGATATATTCCAATATTAAAGGGACTCCACAGAGGTTTTTTGACATGATGGTACTGAAAATGTGTTTTCCAGATAAATGAACCATTTGATGTAGGGTAAGACCACTAATCTTTGTGCAAAATTTCATATCATTCGCTCACTTCGTTTTTCCAAAATAATTATTAAAATTGTAAAAAAAAATGACCCAAAATGAAAAGAGTTTAAACGCTTTTCACTCAAATCAGGCTAAGAAAAGCATAACAATACGATTTCCAATATATTTCAAAGTATATTTCTTAATTGTTTTTGCATATTTCTGTCTAAAATGCCCAAGCTCTTTATGTAAGAAATTCAAATGTTATGTTTTTTTTAGGCTTTTAAACCTCAGTGGAGTCCCTTTAAGTCCATTTAAATGGTACAATTGGTTTAACAACTGCTAAAGATTTGAGGATGCACTTAAACGATAAGACATCAAATAATGACATAAAAGAATAGTTACCAAGTGATGTATTCTTGAGTGCATCACTTATATCTTTGTTACATCTAGGACATCTTCTTGCATTCTTAGGGAAACCTTTGTTTCCTATCTCATAACTACCAGCCAATGGTCCGAACAAATGAGCAGCAAGAATTACTTGAACCTTATAGTCATTATATTCCTTGTTTTTTACCAATGAAAGAAGACACTCCTCATGCTGTTCTGAAATTTAAATTACAATATTTGACTTATGTTACACAAGTACTACAAACAAGAGGGCCATGATGGCTCTAGATCGCTCACCTGACCCATCAAACTCATCCGAACAACATTCTGACCAAGTTTCATGACAGGTGAGTCAAACATGTGACCACTAGAGTGTTAACAAGGATTATCCATATTTAAGCAGTGTGACCTAGTTTTTAACCCAGGTGACCAATATTCGAACTTCACCTAGAAATCATCAAAACAAACTTTCAGACCAATTTCCAGGATACTTTGATCAAAACAGCAGTCACTAGAGTGTTAACAAGATTTTTCTATTTTTAGCTCCGGTGACCTAGTTTTTCACGCGAGATATTTGGGCGGTGTGACCTAGTTTTTCATTCAAGATTACCCATGTTCGATCTTGACCTTAAAATCATCAAAACAAACTTTTAGACCAATTTACAGGATATTTGGATCAAAACAGTAGTCACTAGAGTGTTAACAAGATTTTTCTATTTTTAGCTCCGGTGACCTATTTTTTCACGCGAGATAACCCATGTTTGAACTCATGCCAGCAATTAGCTAGACAAGCATCCTGACCAAGTTTGATGATAACTGAGTCAAAAATGTGACCACTAGAATGTTAACAAGGTTTTTCCATATTTGGGCGGTGTGACCTAGTTTTTCATTCAAGATTATCATGTTCGATCTTGACCTTGAAATCATCAAAACAAACTTTTAGACCAATTTACAGGATATTTGGATCAAAACAGTAGCCACTAGAGTGTTAATAAGATTTTTTCTATTTTTAGCTCCGGTGACCTAGTTTTTATCGGAGATGACCCAAGTTCGAATTCATCTGAGCAATGACCTACACAAGCATCCTGACCAAGATTGATGATAATTGAGTAAAAAATGTGACCACTAGTATGTTAAGGTTTTCCATATTTGGGCAGAGTGACCTAGTTTTTGACCCCAGGTGACCCATATTCAAACTTGACCTAGAAATCACCTAGACAAGCATCCTGACAAAGTTTGATGTTGATTGAGGCAAAAATGCGACCACTAGAGTGTTAACGAACAAGTGTGACGGACGACAGACGACGGACGACATATGACGGACATTCAACGATCCTAAAAGCTCACCCTGAGCAAGCTAAAAAGCAACTGTATTGAGTTGATTTCACTTGCCATATGAAATTGATTTAAATAACCAATTTCCAAAAAAAATGTAAGAGGAATCATCAACTGGAGTTATAAGGGCTTTTAAAATGTTGCTTTGTTCATTCCTATTCTAAGATATAATATCAAGAGATAAAAGACAAATCAACAGCCCTGAAATTCCGAGGATTTTTGGTTATATTTTATATCACCTATAAATTAAATCCTTGTACATTATTAATATCATTATATTAAAACAACAAAATTAAAAGTTCAGTTCAAACTGTAAGAAGGTCTTGTCCAAAATTTGTTTTGTCCAGGTATGAAGATAATCCGTTGATTAATTACCATGTCAGAGTCAATTACAGCAAAAATCAGTGAAAATTCAATAATTCAACCTTCAAGTTCATGGTCATAAATGAGCTATCAATTCGGCAGCACGAAATACCCAAATATACTCAAATATACACAAAAATACGGGATATACTATTCTCCAGTCGGGTCGCTTCCGGTCTCTCCCGGTCTATTTTGACCAGGATTTAAAAGATTTCCCCAGAAAAAAGTAACCAATGAACAAGCATCTGAATGAGATATTTCCATCGTTTTCCTTTTCTCTGTCGTCACAATAAGTCGACCCCATCAAAAATGAACCAATCAATGGGCATGCTCTGGAGTGTGCCAGTGGGTAACTAATACCTGCACTCCAGTTAATGCACTGTACATGTATATGTAGACGATTTAACTCTGGCATATTTTCAACAGAAAGGTCCCCCAAACTATGATACAAGTAAATATTGTAACCAATCTAAGTGACAAACATTCAATTTTGGGGGAAAAATCTTTCTTATATGCTGCGATTTCAAATAAAATATCTACTCCAAAACCGAAAGAGACCGGACAATAAATGTGTGATACTAATAGCTGGTCTCTAGTAAATCCCGGTCAAAATAGATAGGGTATTATTTTGTTGAAATTTCATACAAGTTCATTAGTATCATTTTTTTTTATTTTAATATAATAGCTTTAATGGAGTATACTGTATTTGGATATATTCTGGTTCAAATGTAAATTTGGGTATGTTTGATTAAATCTTAGTTTATATTGTATTTATAATTAAAACAGCACTTTTTTTAGTATAAAACATTCATTTTTTGTATATTTGGGCAATATTTGGGAATATTTGGGTGTTACATTTGGGTATTTCATGCTACACCATCCGGTCAATATGTATTTCATATACATGCAGGTCTTATCCTAAAGAAATTTGTGTCTTAATATAGAGTCAGTTCATTCATTAATAACAAAGTTACATGTATAGCCAGGTGCAGTGCTAAAAAAAGAAGGATTTTTCAATATTGTATTCTTGACCTTCAAGGTCAAGGTCATTTATGAGGAAAGGTCAAGGCTTGTCCAGGAGTAGTAAACTTGAAGGTCTATCCTAAAAGATTGTTGCATTCAAGTTTGAAAACAAGCCATACAAAACTAACCTATTATGGCCACTAATTATAATAGCAAAAATTTTGCAAAATTAAGACATTTGACATTGAAGGTCAAAGTCATTTACGAATGAAGGTAAAGTTTAGTCTGGTCTACTTAGAGGTCTTGTTCCAAGGGTTGTTGTGGCCGGTATGTAGACAAAACACCAACAACTTAAGAAGTTGTGATCAAAGTTAAGTTTGTTGTAACAATTAATACCTCTTTTTATGTTTACATTTTGAAGTCTGCAATCTTTAATATTTTGGGACTTAATGGTACATGGGATTTTCTTACTGTGAGGTCTGACTCCAAAGTGTTTAACAAAATTGACTGGGTCGAATCGTCAATGGGGCGAATCGTTATCAATACATAGCTAGCAAGACACATCCTATAAATGTGTGTATAATAAAACTTTCAAAGCGTACTTTCTGCAACGAATTCCTCTAATTTTGAAATTTCTACTGTTCTCTCGGTTTCTCCTTGAAAGTAAGAATTCAGTTTCTTTGTACCATTAATAATCTCGAAATGTATATAAATTAAAATTAGTTCTACAAAGTGACTTTGATAGAGTGTAATTTTGCCCTACTGTTTCGTCCTATAGGTGCTGAAAGTATAAAAAGTCAATTTGAAAACTTACCCAGTGATTGATTTCACAGACTGGGGTGTGGAGCTAAAAATGCCTTTGAAATCCAAATAAAATGTATATTTGTCAATCCCAGCACATGTACTGATCATATATATACTGTATATATAAAACTTTATATACGCCGTTTTGAAAAACTTCATATTTCAACGTCTATAATCAGATCTATTATTGCTCACGTTAATGCGTTTAAGCCTAATGAATTGTGTAACTCGCTGTTGGATTCTGTTAAACTTATGGTAGTTCTTTATATTCTCGTATAATGTACATGTATATCACATTGAATCTATTTAATTTTATTTGTTTAAATGATTACTGTCTGTTAATAAAACATTTTTTTCAATGCACTTTCCGCATTTAGGAAAATGCTACAAATGAAAGAATAAAGGCTTATACAGCTATATAGCTTACAAAGGCCAGTTGTCCCCTTCTTTAGCTTCAAATGTTTCTGGTGTTACATCTTTAGCTCGTACAAAGGTTTAAAGATCCTGTATGTTGTAATTAAGGATGTAACATACACTTAAGCGAAGTTTTATACATATATGTTTACTTATTATTCTTCTAAAACAAGTTCCAAACATCCGAGAACGAATATGATAAATAAATATGTACAGCAAATGTTTATATACTGTATAATTATAATTAAATAATATATTATAATTAAAGGTTAAAATTAATGCATTCATTTTTTGTTGGAAAAAAAATAAATAAAACAACTCGCTTAAACTTTATCGAAAATGAATTTCCAATTACCTCCCTTCATTTACATGAAATGTCAAATTCGGTAATACCTTTAAAAACAATGCTTTTTGAAACTTACAGTATTGATAAATATTCATTTGAGCATCATATTTATGGTATTCATGGTATAAAGCCATAATTTAAAATGCGTAATAGGGTCTATAAATGATTTATATCAGTTTTCAGTCTGCCTATATGTCCATATATATTGCAGCAATCTAATGTTTTTCTCAAAATTGGAAAGTTATGAATGTGATAGGTTTTGACTCACAGTAAACGTGATAAAAATGAACAAAAAAGAAGATTTATATAGCTGATAAAAAGCACTATTTAATACAAACTGTGGAAAAGTGCTAGATATGCGGCAAAAGAAACTTTAAAGCAAGATAAACGTCAGTCGTGGAACAATTCTGCAGTAAAATCACGTACAAAAACTCTAAAATTTGGAATTTGTTACAAGAATTAAAGGAAAAGAATAATCGTCTTCACCGGCTTTCCAAATAAATAAGAGAATAATAACAGAGCCAGAAGAAAAATGAAAAAAAAGTAGAAAATGCTAGCAGTGAAGAATTTATAATGCGAAAAGTAGAAGGATCGCGTCTTGCATTAATAAAGGCAGAAGCGGGCCAGAATTTGAGAATTTATATACCGCGTTTGATAGCTGTGCGTGTTTAAATAACTGTGTATATCAGTTAAGTCAAATGTGATGAGTAGCTAGTTACTTCTTACTTTTAATTATATAAGTATTTACGTGATGGAAATTCTTGGACGGACATCTGGAAACCTTTATACAGACATCTCGGTTTCCATCAAAATAGCTAGCTAGTATTTTGCTACACTACAGTTGTATATATGCCCGGTCCATTTTGTACATAAGTAGTATATAAAACTCACGTTTGGACCTTTTAAGGAAGGGGAAATCTATTTGTTTCAGAGGTATAAAAGCTGTAAGGTACTTTTAATGACTCTGATTTACATTTAAATATTTATAAAATGAATTCATTAACAAGTAACACATTTGGATAATACGTGTATTTGGAGACAACTTTTCTAATAATTGCTTAAAGAAACATAACAAGACTTATTATACACCAATAATTCATCACTGTGTATCTAACATAATAACAGTATTGTATAAAGACAGCAAAATAACATTGTCTGCTTAAAGAGTTATAAAATATGATAAGAGTAGAAGTATGATTACATTTTCCTACGGCATCAGTTTAATTGTTATTCAGCAGCGTAACGTCATGGTCCAAAAAACCAGCGATGTCATTGGTCAATATCTAATTGCCTACCACACTTTTAATCCATTCAATAAGCCAAAAAAGCAGAGTTATTTTATTATTCTAACATGGCAAATGAAACTTTCAAAGATCCGAAGTGTGACTGACATTACTTTTCCGGGTATATCTACTCAAAGAGCCAAGATACACATTGTCGTCTTTTGCATCTATGCTCACCTCATTCTTACTTGGTCGGAATTTGTAGAAGCTAACTGCACTCTCTTCGCTAACATCATTCATATCTTGTTCCAATGCTTTCATTTTATGTTTCACTCTTTTTGTAGTAATAAAAAGTTCAGCTTTCTGTCCCTGTCTCTCCTTTAAGCCTAATTGACCAATGAGAGACGTCAATTTAGACTCTATATCTACTGTTTTGGAAGCCATTTTGTGCATGATGATAGGATATGTTTTCGACTGCTCGTCTAACTTCCTTGCCTCCTCTTCAATCCTCGTGTTCATAAGCTTTTGTTGCTCGAAAAGCTGCTGCTTTCTCTGATTTTGCTTCTCTTCGAGTTTTCGTATTACTTCTGCCTTTTCGTCATCCAAAGCTTTAAATATATCTATTCGCTGATCTTCAATTCGGTCTTTCATGTATTTCCTTTGTCTGTTAATAGACTTTGATATGTCACTCCTGTTAATGCTGACCTGTTTTAGGTTTTGATCCGTCTCATCTTTCATACGAGTTGCGTCTTTTTCAACTTCATTAAGCGTTTTCTTAACTTCTTTAAACTCGGTATATATATCACGTGACTGCAAGTATGATGGTATATGCTTAAACTCAGAACATTCCGCTTGGTGTTTAATAGGTATGCACTCCGCACACGTAGTGTCATCACATCTTGGACAGTAGAATTTAACGAATTCATTCGGATGAACGCTGCATCGTTCAACACAGAAGTCCTGGGGCATATTTTTCCTGTCCAACTGCGTGTGATTTCGTACATACTTCTTATGATATTTCAAACACGTATTACACATGTAGTCTAAACAATTAACACAAAATCCATCAGCCTGAACTTTGTTTCCATCTTTATGACAAGGTTCACAAAACATAGTATCATATTCATAGCCGTCTGCATATTCCGCCGACGCCATATTGAAAATTTGTAAACTAAAGTTCTGTTTAAGATAAGAGTAAATCCTTGTACCTGTTAAATAAAATGTTTATTTACACAGGTAAATTGAAAGGCTGTCATCCACCTAGGTCGCCTGAATAATTTATGTATTGCGCAGATATAAAATGGTATCGTCGAGTTAACGAAGCGAAACGAATAACGTAGTCGTTTATAGCCTAAGCAATAAATGTGGCATATATTAAACTTGATCGATGATTTAACATCAGTTTAATAACAAATAAAGTTTTAAACATATAACTTTTCAATATGAGATTGTTTATGTATGTTTGATAACAGTATTAAAAATAGTTACAGTCTTTATGGTATTCTTGCTACAAATATGAATGTATCCTCGGGCATTTTACTAATATGTATGGTCAATAATGATACAATTAAATATCTAAAAATATCCTCTTTAGACATAATTACTATCCTGTACCACTTTATATATATTCTAAACGGGTACTGGATGGATGGTATTGTGTACCCGTTTATTAAACCCTATTATTAAAGGGGTGTTATTTTACGATATTACTGTAATCATATTTATTGGAGTAGGTAATTAATGTATGTGGCTAGCTCAGAGATGTAGATCTATGTCTCTGCTAAGTTCAAGTTTATAATTAGAATACCTAATAGAACACTATTTAACATATTAAAATAAACATGAAACTTCTTTAAAAATCGTGCATGTTTATGTTAAAGGTAACAAATTGTATGTATTGTTTACACGCTCGGTACAAGGGTTACCTTAAGGATTTGTCTGATAAGGTGCGTAGGAAGTTCGACATACTTTATTTGTGTTTGTATTTTTCAAGTACCTCTGCTCATGGTTTCAATATTATTTGAACATCGCATTTAGGATAAATTGAACTTTTGTTTGATTGAAAAACTAAATCAAACATAATCGAAAATAATTTACTTTAAGTTACAGTTTTAAAGATTAAAGCTACATTTGTATTTTAAATATTTTTTTCATTGCACGGTGAAGGCACCATATGCTTGTACTTTAATATACTGAATAAAAGGACAGGAAACAAAAGCTGTCCGAGTTGCAGCTCACTAAAGGGCTTATAATTCGGATAGACTTTTTATTACTTAACAGTGTTTAGCGAATGTTTTGCCTTGATATTCAAGTATATTAAGTTTGAAAATAATACTATCTAGAACTATCACTAAATGTGATTAATACCCCCACAAGACTGCTTCGGAAATGAGGATGTTACTAGTAACAGAATACCTTGTAAAAGAATTGAAATATAGAGTTATGGTTGAGGGCAATTAAAGATACTAGTAGTTGTGGTTCTTGTATGTTGCATTTCCTTTCAATGTGGTTGGCCATTGATGAAGTTTTATTGAATTACTCTGTAATAAGTCCAGAAAGACAAGGAAAAGTAACAAAGGGCAATAACTCTATAAATACTGAAGATGGAGTTATAGTTCCTGTGCACTGCACTTCCTCTTATTGTGCTTGTCCATTGTATGAAGTTGTTTTGAATTCCAACCAGTACATTTTTAAGTTATGCTCCGGACAAGGAAAAGTATCAAAGGGCAGTAACTCTGTATTTTGTCAAGATGGAGTTATGGCTCTTGTGCACTGCACTTCCTTTTAATGTCATTGACAACTGTATGAAGTTGTATTGAATTCCAAACAGTAGTTTTCAAGTTATGCCCCAGACAAGGAAAAGTAACAAAGGGCAATAACTCTGTAATTAGTCAAGATGGAGTTATGGTTCTTGTGCACGGCACTTCCTCTCAATGTGCTTGACCATTGTATGAAGTTATAATGAATTCCATCAATAAGTCTTCAAGTTATGGTCCAGACAAAAGAAAGCAATGGAAAAGTAACAAAGGGCAATAACTCTGTAACTACTTTAGATAGAGTTATGGTTCTTGTGCACTGCACTTCCCCTTATTGTGTTTGACAATTTTATGAAGTTGTTTTTAATTCCAACCAGTAGTTTTCAAGTTATGCCCCAGACAAGGAAAAGTAACAAAGAGCAATAACTCTGTAATTAGTCATGATAGAGTTATGTTGTGCACTGCACTTCCTCTCAATGTGCTTGACTATTGTATGAAGTTATAATGAATTCCAACAATTAGTCTTCAAGTTATGGTCCGTACAAAAGAAAGCAATGGAAAAGTAACAAAGGGCAATAACTCTGTAATTACTTTAGATAGAGTTAAGGTTCTTGTGCACTGCACTTCCCCTTATTGTGTTTAACAACTGTATGAAGTTGTTTTTAATTCCAACCAGTAGTTTTCAAGTTATGCCCCGGACAAGGAAAAGTAACAAAGGGCAATAACTCTGTAATTAGTCAAGAGAGTGTTATGGTTCTTGTGCACTGCACTTTCTCTCAATGTGCTTGACCATTGTATGTAGTTATATTGAATTCCAACCATTAGTCTTCAAGTTATGCTCCGGACAAGGAAAATGCAACGGACCGACTGACCGACCGACCACAGGGTGACTCCTATATACCCCCCAAACTTAGTTTTTGGGGGTATAATAATGGTCTCTGAGAACCTTCGACATTTTTACTTTTTCTAAATGTTTTTTTTTTTTTTTTTTTTTTAATTTCACTAGGTCGTCTTGTAACACTTGTTGTTTTGTCAAAATATGAATAATTTATATAATGTTCAGCGACCGATTTTACATCTGAAACTATGCACATGTTCAAATACCAAAGCTGTGCATCATAGGGCCAGAAAATTGATCACTTCTTCAAATTATCAAGGTCAACTGATAACAAAATTTCAATCTTACATCAAAGGACAAGAAAATAGGTAACATTGTCAAAGTCTAGGTCAGCCTAAAAATCTGAAACTGAGCACATGGTCCAAATGTCATAGCTTTTGGAAATAAATAAGAAAATTTCATTATGACCTTGATTTAAGTCAAGGTCACATCTTAATTAATAATTATATTTGTTTCGCTACAAGTCTTGTTTTGTCAAATTATAAATAAAATCTGAACAAAAAAAAAAAATTTTACAATTTAACCAAAATTAAATAATTTGATTTTTACAGTCAATGTCATTTACAGCTCAAGGTCAAGGTCAGTTCAATCTGTTAGAAGGTCTTGTTACAAATGTTGTTTTAAACAACTTGGGACTATCAAACCCTCAATATTCCTTTGGACTAACAAAACCAAAATGTTCCTTCAGACTAACAAAACTAAAATGTTACTTCAGACTAACAAAACTAAATTGTTTCTTTAGACTAACAAAACCAAATGTTTCTTCAGACTATCAAAACCTCAATGTTCCTTCGGACTAAACAAAACCAAAATGTTCCTTCAGACTAACAAAACTAAAATGTTACTTCAGACTAACAAAACCAAATGTTTCTTCAGCCTAACAAATCCAAATGTTTCTTTAGACTAACAAAACTAAAATGTTCCTTCAGACTAACAAAACTAAAATGTTACTTCAGACTAACAAAACTAAATTGTTTCTTCAGACTAACAAAACCAAATGTTTCTTCAGACTATCAAAACCTCAATGTTCCTTCGGACTAAACAAAACCAAAATGTTCCTTCAGACTAACAAAACTAAAATGTTACTTCAGACTAACAAAACCAAATGTTTCTTCAGACTAACAAATCCAAATGTTTCTTTAGACTAACAAAACTAAAATGTTCCTTCAGACTAACAAAACTAAAATGTTACTTCAGACTAACAAAACCAAATGTTCCTTCAGACTAACAAAACCAAATGTTTCTTTAGACTAACAAAACTAAAATGTTCCTTCAGACTAACAAAACTAAAATGTTACTTCAGACTAACAAATCCAAATGTTTCTTCAGACTACAAATCCAAATGTTTCTTTAGACTAACAAAACAAAATGTTACTTCGGACTATCAAAACCTCAATGTTCCTTCGGACTAATAAAGCAAAAATGTTCCTTCAGACTAACATAACCAAATGTTACTTCAGACTAACACAACCAAAATGTTACTTCGGACTAACACAACTAAAATGTTACTTCGGACTATCAAAATCTCAATGTTCCTTCGGACTAATAAAGCCAAAATGTTCCTTCAGAGTAACAAAACTAAAATGTTACTTCGGACTAACAAAACTAAATGGTTGCTTCAAACTTACAAATCCAAAATACTAGAATGTCTGCATGACAAACTGATTCCAGTATCCTCCTTGTGCATCTTTGGGCAGTATTATAAATCTGATATGGTTCCATATAAACAGTGGGTTGTAAATATAACCCAAGCAGCTGTATGAGGTTAATATATGGTCATATAACCTGTCAGTATTATTTATAATGAATATACAATGTATAGTACTGCAAACTTCCTTTTTTAAAGAAAAAAGTGAGATTTCTTCATAAATTGACAGCAGCAGTGTATATAAAACTATGTAAACTTTACGATTATCCAATGGAAAGTGACATTACAAACTTGTAGTACTATAAAACATATGTCTATATGAATGGATTAAATATAACAATACACTTTTTCCAATGTGCATGATCCTTTATTAACAAGAAAAATTAGCCTTTCAAAATTTCACAATTACACCTCAAACTTATTTAAATATCGTTAGTAGGATACACGTATTTTACACAAAAAAAAGCAAAAAAAACAAAACTAAAACCAAAACATAATAATCTAATAAGTCAACATAACTAAAAAGATACAATAACAAAACATAAATTCAATAACAATAAATATAAGTTGACAATTATACACTTATAATTAAACATATTATATTAGCAAAAAGAATCAAACATGGAAGATTATTTTAGTCTATAAATTAAGATGAATCAAACACATCCTTTCATGAGACAATGTTATAAATGTACTTCCACAGAATAAAAACTATATATTTCCGAGTACTATACCTTTGACATTACAATAATAACAACAATTCTGCAATTGTTAATATTCTAAACATGGTTATATAAATATACCAAATGGAGTCAGTACTACTAGAGAATATTTAACCCAAAGCCTGAAAGTGCCAACTGATTCTACCAATGTGGCCAGTGCGTACCATGATTGGCCAGCACATATGTGTCACCTGATTCTACCAATGTGGCCAGTGCAGACCAAGATTGACCAGCAGCTATGTGTCACCTGATTCTACAAATTTGGCCATTACAGACCAAGATTGGCAAGCACATATGTGTCAACTGATTCACCAATGTGGCCATTGCAGACCAAGATTGGCAAGCACATATGTGTCAACTGATTCTACCACTGTTACCAGTGCAGACCAAGATTGGGCAGCATATATGTGTCACTTGATTCTACCAATGTGGCCAGTGCAGACCAAGATTGGCCAGCAGCTATGTGTCACCTGATTCTACCAATTTGGCCATTGCAGACCAAGATTGGCAAGCACATATGTGTCAACTGATTCTACCATTGTTACCAGTGCAGACCAAGATTGGGCAGCACATATGTGTCAACTGATTCTACCAATGTGGCCAGTGCAGACCAATGTGGCCAGTACATATGTGTATCAACAGATTCTACACATATGTGTCAACTGATTATATCTATGTGGCCAGTGCAGACCAAGGTCAGCCAGTACATATGTGTCAACTGATTCTACCAATGTGGCCAGTGCAGACAAATGTGGCCAGTACAGACAAAGATTGGCTAGCACATATGTGTCAACTGATTCACCAATGTGGCCAATGCAGACCAAGATTGGCCAGCACATATGTGTCAACTGATTCTACCAATGTGGCCAGTGCAGACCAAGATTGGCAAGCACATATGTGTCAACTGATTCTACCAATGTGGCCAGTGCATACCAAGATTGGCCAGTACATATGTGTCAACTGGTTCTACCAATGTGGCCAGTTCAGGTACATATGTGTCAACTGATCATAGTCTGCACTGTTCACTATTCATTCTGTATTCATTTTTTAAATTTCCTACTGGCTTTGTTTGAATTAAAACATAGACAAGCTTTTTTAAGATATTTAACGGGAGCATAATTATAATATACAGAGGATTTTTTTGTTTCAAGTCAATATGCTGTATATCAGTAATCACATTGAAAAATGAAAACAAGAGGGCCATGATGGCCCTGAGGTCGCTCACCTGTATATAGGCCCCCCCCAACCCCCATCCCCCCCCCAACGTTGCTGGGCCAATTTAACCCAAGGGCTTTTATTTGCACAAACTTGGTAGACACCCATAAGAAGATGTTTCATGCTAAACATCTAAGCTCTAGCTCATTGGGCTTTTTAAAAGAAGATTTTTTTTTAAGTTTTTACTATACACATATAGTTAAAAACAATGACACCCCTGGGGCCGGGCCAGTTTTGACCCCAGGGCTTTTATTTGAACAAACTTTGTAGACACTTACTAGAAGATGTTTCATGCTTAATATCTAAACTCTAGCTATTTGGGTTTTTTCAAAGAAGATTTAAAGTTTTTGCTAAACACATATAAAGAAAATCAATGACCCCCGGGGCGGGGCCAATTTTGACCCCAGGTCTTTTATTTGAACAAACTTTGTAGACACTCACTAAAAGATGTTTCATGCTTAATATCTTAACTCTAGCTATTTGGGTTTTTTCAAAGAAGATTTTTTAAGTTTTTGCTATACACATATAAGGAAAATCAATGACCCCCTGGGCAGTGCCAATTTTGACCCCAGGGCTTTTATTTAAACAAACTTGGTAGACACCTATTAGAACATGTTTGATGCTCAATATCTTCGCCATAGCTCTTTGAGTTCTTTAAAAGAAGATTTTTTTTTTAAGTTTTTACTATATGCATATAGGGAAAATCAATGACCCCCCGGGGCGGGGCCAATTTTGACCCCAGGGCTTTTATTTGAACAAACTTGGTAGACACCCATTAGAACATGTTTCATGCTAAATATCTTAGCTCTAGCTCTTTGGGTTCTTTAAAAGAAGATTTTTTAAGTTTTTACTATATGCATATAGGGAAAATCAATGACCCCCCGGGGCGGGACCAATTTTGACCCCAGGGCTTTTATTTGAACAAACTTGGTAGACACTCACTAGAAGATGTTTCATGCCAAATATCTAAGCTCTAGCTCTTTGAGTTCTTTAAAAGAAGATTTTTTAAGTTTTTACTATATGCATATAGGGAAAATCAATGACCCCCCGGGGCGGGGCCAATTTTGACCCCAGGGCTTTTATTTGAACAAACTTGGTAGACACCCATTAGAACATGTTTCATGCTAAATATCTTAGCTCTAGCTCTTTGGGTTCTTTAAAAGAAGATTTTTTAAGTTTTTACTATATGCATATAGGGAAAATCAATGACCCCCCGGGGCGGGGCCAATTTTGACCCCAGGGCTTTTATTTGAACAAACTTTGTAGACACTCACTAGAAGATGTTTCATGCCAAATATCTAAGCTCTAGCTCTTATGGTTTTTTAAAAGAAGATATTTAAAGTTTTTTCTTTCGGTTGCCATGGCAACCAGAGTTCTGCATGGAATTAAATTCTTTGAACAATTTTTAAAGGTGACCACCAAAGGAACATTCCTGTGAAGTTTGGATGAAATTGGCTTAGTGGTTTATGAGGAGATGTCATTTAAAGTAAAAGTTTACGGACGGACGGACGCCGGACAAAAAGCGATCACAAAAGCTCACCCTGTCACTTTGTGACAGGTGAGCTAAAAAAAAGAGAAATATCTTCTTTACTGCAGAACCATAAATGAAACCCAATATCTTAGTGGTTAGGGAAAAAAAAAGCATATATAAATATATATCATAGATCACACCATTTTAGGTAAGGTTTTAAAGCACTCATAATTTTACAAATAATGAAGTATAAGATATACTAGTAATGTTTATATAAATATTGCTATATATTCTTCTTTAGCAAGTTCTTCTTTCAGTGAAGCTCTTTTACAATGGTAGGATACTATGTCATTCTGCACCTGTAAAAACCTCCCAAAGTTTTTCCTTAACGCACCCACTTCCAAACAAAATTCATCCCGTTTTCAGGGATAAACATTTTTAGCTACATTATGTTTTGATATTCTAATGATTTCTTTGAATACAAAAATATTTTATCTTTGAGTCAACATGGGAGCATTATGCAGGTGTACAATGACATGGGAGCATTTTGCAGGTGCACAATGACATGGGAGCATTTTGCAGGTGCACAATGACATGGGAGCATTTTGCAGGTGCACAATGACAAAGTATCCTACCATTGTTTTAATACCTTCATAAATGTCATACTAGCGTCATTTCACTAAACAAAGTTATCAAACTATTGATAATTAAATACATGTTACAATTATATTACTTAATTAATCACCATTGTTTTATATCTAACTATATGTATACAGGATCTGATGAGATTAACTTTTGTGAATATTTTAATGACAAAATAAAATTATGACAATTTTACCATACTGACAACCACATTAATTTTACCACAGTAACTTTACCACTGAAAATTTACTTCTTGTTATATCAATTACCACAGTAACTTTACTACATTAATCCTATCGCATACTGACACAAACTTTTTCCCCCAACATTTAATCGAAAATGAGAATGAGCTTATACCTATGATAACAAATAATTTATATACATTTTAGCACTATCTCATGCCGGGATTTTCACCATGTTTCCATGGCAACCATATTCAATTTAAAATATATGTTGACAACAAAAAATAATGATCCATTTAGACACAACAAATATTCAATGATTCAAGGCAGGCAGTTACTTTGATGTTTCTTTAGAAAATTTCTTTATTTATCAGAAAAGTCTATTTTGGGACAGGTATAAAATGCTGGGTCAGATCAAAGGGGGACAACTGTGTTAATGTACAAGTTCAAAATTATGCAGCATATTTATTTGTCTAAAATTTACAAAAATTGAATAACAATATTGTATACAGTATTATCTTGGCATCGCTATTTTGTAAAGTGACTGGTTGTGTCATGTATAAGTCAAAGCTTTTAAAAAATCCTGAATTTATTTTTCTCATATACATTTGGTGTCAAGTTACAATTTCCAAAATGCTACTTTTATGACCTATCATTTAACATTAGGGGTGTCACGGTTAGAAAAAATGCTAACTGTTTAAACAGCGACGTAATAACCGAGTTAAACGTTTAACCCACCATACTAATAAAATCCTTAGGTTTTCAACATTAACTTTGTTTCTTTATATATATCAAGATATGCCATATTGTTCATATTTTGTTGTACTCAAAAATGATTACAATACATATCCGAATATGGAGTAACCTTTTTTTCTAGGGTCATACTGTATTCGATCAGATCGGAAAAAATACATTGTTGAAAACAACTAAAATACAAACAATTGTTGTATTTTGTCATAAAAAACTAAATATTAAGAATCAATTTAAAACATTTCTGCCCCTTAGTCAAATACTTACCTTGGTTACCAGTTATGGATTTTTCTAACTGTTTTTAGCTAAAAATCGACCATACCCGTTTAAACGTTGCCACCCCTATTTAACATACAGTGATAACTTCCTCGCAAGACGAGATTCTAACATGCCATTAATCCATTATACATGTATTTCACAGGTTTGCATTTTCATCAGACAAGAAATTGTGCCTTTTGATACAAGCTAATATATATAGGTTCTTTATGTTTCATAGATGTCCATGGAAATGCTATGATTCGATTTTATCATTATATCTAAATTTTATTTCATTTTTCACGAAACTCAATCTAAGTAAAGTAAATAAGTTACAGACAAATATATGCTTTATTTATTATATGTAAGTATATCTGAGAAATGTCAATTACATTGTCATTTGTTAATGTTATCAAATTGAATTCATATTATATTTTTTCAACCATTGCAATTCTAAATAAATTCAGTGTATATGCCTTTAACATTAACCACATAGTTCCTAAATGACCACTGCAATTATAATAAAAGTTTGTTTGTTTGTTTTTATCTGCAAAGGTCAGAAGTGCAGGAGCAAGATTATTTTGGCAAACTTTGGGTGCTACAAATTTAAAGCAACACCAAGGGTCAAAACCAGAAATCACCTAATAAAGTTAATATAGTCAGATTATCTTACTTCTAAGTTATGAAATTTGTGATTCGAAGTCCTTTGTCAACAAAATGAAAGTATATTTAGTATTTAAAATATTTATTATTATAACTACAATCACTTATAAACATATCTGATCCATTTCTTCATATACAAATACAGTTCAACTCTAAATAAACACTTATAAAAACAAACAAAAAAAAGTTATAATAAAATCAACTTAAACCACATATAGAGGAGAAAATATAAGCACTAAGATATATATTTGTTACAGGTATAAGGTTATTGAAATAACTTGTTATGTACCTCATCTTACAATAAAATAATCTAAGACATTTAAAAACTGAAGATAACAGGCTTAATATAATAGCTTCTACCTTTTTGAACATCCTTTGTCCATGACATGAAAATAAATTTAATTCTAAAATAAGAGAAAAATAAGGAACCCCAAAAGCACATCATTAATTGAAAATTTTGCAGGCTGGGTTTGGCCGAGCTTGTTTATGGATGGTACAGTACTTCTAGAAAATGCAAGCTACCATCAACACCCATTTAAACCTGTCTATCCCATTATAAAGCACACAACAATTTCATGGTCATTACAAGGTAAATCGTATCTTCAGATGTAACCATTACTTAGTTTGATTTGTAATATTTTCAAGCACTCACATACAATATCTACAATTTAGCCAAAGCATAGAATGTGACTATGAGTAAAACACAGGTCCAAGGTCTGTAACTCTGTAACATTACAAGGTAAATGATAAGACTATAAATAACTTGACCATTGACTTAATTCAAAGCTGATTCATTATATTAAGAGCCAGGATTGCATTTCCTTAAGAAATAAAAAATAATATACAGATCTCTCTAAAATCTCATGATTTTCATTGGTCAGAGTTTATTCAGTCAATTGTTTCTGGCCAATGAAATACCAGAGATCTGAGTTTAAGCTTAGAAAGTTTCTTTATAACCTCAGACTCCAAGTTTTTTTATTCCAATTAATTGCTTGAACGTAAGTATCGTTGATTTCAATTTACATTCAACCAATTGAAAAATAAGCTTATATACCATAAAACTGATAATATCCAATAAAAATCTTGGATCATTACTTATTTTATGAAATCATTGAAAAAAACAACAACAAAAACAACAATAATTCAAAACAATATAATTTGTTTTGAACAATTTTACAATAATAAAAAAATCATATCTCTTACTAGTGGAAAATGATGAAAAGGTTGATAATTGCACATTTTAATATATAACTAGTGATAATATACTCTAGAATCAGATATTTTCGCAAGGTCAAAATCTTTTGTGAAACTTATTTACTAGGTTAGATTTTTTTTTTGGACAAGCATATTTTATCTTTATTAAACGCTTAAAACATTTAAAAATGTTATGCCCCCAGGGGCGTTCAATCGGGATTTTATGGTATTCATCAATTTCTACATTCATTTCTGTTTAAGTCATATGATACTTAATACATGGTGAACATTTTTAAAATTGCAAAAATTGTCAAAATTTAAAACTCTCACGAAAATTTCTGATTTTATATTATTAAGCATAAAGGGATCAGAGTAAAAGGGGTGGCTGCACATTTTATTCACAAGCACTAAGAAGTAAAAACACAAAATAAACAACAACAATTTAAATCAAAATTTTGCTTAAACATATAGATCCAGAAATATTTATTTACCTTCTACAACAAATATAACGGCAATATTTACAACAATATGTACAGGCTTGTTTTAATAAATGGGTAATAAAAACTCCTCTCTCACATCTAGCTCTATGTACATTTAACATTGTATATATACTCATTCCAATATCATTCAATTAAATATTTCCATTTGGTTGTGCATGTTAGCGACCATGACGCTCTCAAGGTGAAATGTTGGCTTCAGATTTTAATTGTGGTCAGGAGAGTATGGCCCCTTTAATGCCTCTCTATTGATAATTGGGGCATGAATAATCAAAACGATATTTAAACACAGTTGGCTAGGTAGCTGACTAAATCTAGAAAATACATCTGGCAGACTTGAACCTACTAGAGGGCACATTTTAAAAGTCCTAGCAAGCACGGCATGTTGTCATTCATAACCTTATCAATAAATGCACATTTTCTTCTATGTTAAAGGGACTCCACTAAGGTTTTTTGACATGACAGTACTGGAAATATTATTCCGAGATTAATGATCTACATGATGTAGGCATACAAATAACTGCAAGATTTATCTTTATTCACTCACTCCCTTTTTTCACAATTATTATTCAAATTCTGAAAACAACATAACTATGCTTTTCACTAAAATAATTATTATTTTGCACATCTTTCTGTTTTAAGTGCTCCAGTTGATTTATGTACAAAATTCAACTTTTATGTTTGGACCTAAATGCAACTTTTATGTTTGGACCAAAGTGGAGTTCCTTTAATATATATTTGCAGGAGCAGTTGTTTTTTTTACGCAAGAATGAACTTATTACAATGAGTATGTTTACAGGAAATAAGCCGTGACATGACAAAATCAACATTATGCATATGCGACCAGCATGGATCCAGACCAGCCTGCGCATTGCGCAGTCTGATCAGGATCCATGCTGTTCGCTTACCAACCCTATTACAAATAGAGAAACTGAAAGCGAACAGCATGGATCCTGATGCGCAGGCTGGTCTGGATCCATGCTGGTCGCAAACCCACTATGTTGGTTTTGTCATGACGTGGCTCAAATGTAACTCTCTCTTCAATCTATCTCACCTGAAAGACTTTTTCAAAACAATTCAAAAATCTAAGTCAAATATTTTAATGTTTTATACAGACAAACAAATTTCTACTATTAATGTTTTAAACAACAAAGACATTTTTATTACATTTACTCTTGTAAAAGCATACTACTACAGCATGATGTATGTCAGTTATTAAATATTGTGAGGACATCCTGATCTCAAGATTTATATATTGGTACTATTTAGAAGAGAAAATAAGTTACATATAATCACATTATTTTGTGCATAAGCAAAAACAATAATCTTCAACTATAGTTCAATAGAATATCAATCCCCCTCAAGGTAGACATTTTCAAGGAAACAAAACATGACAAACCAGCAATATGCTGTCAATTTTAATATTCTTATCTGCCTGTTGTTAGTTTTTTTTTTAATATTCAAATTATTTCCATATTCAGAGCTCATAAAGAACTGTTATTTTCTTGATAATTGAGTTTCAGATCTTTAATTTGTGTTCATTTTCTGGTCATTGTGTTTAAGATATCAATTTTCGTTATCTGTTTTAAGGTTTAAACATATAATAATGACAAGAAATTTTGTTTGTTTAAATATTGACTATATTGATATAGCTATATATATGTATTAATCAACCAATCAAAAACTGTTTGTATTTTGTATTGTTTAATTTTACACGAACCAATCCTTATTTTTCATGCTCAACAGCTCCTGAATGACCTTCTCAAGGTCATTTTCATGCTTCACTAAAAGTCTCTTATTCAAATCTGTCTCAATAAATCCCATTTCAATCAGCTGTTCCATGGGTCCATCAGCTGGGGGTTTCCATTGATCTTTACGGGGAGCTGGTTCAGACTGGACTGGAGGCTTCCAATTAGACGTCGGGGGTTTATAATTATCTGACGGGGGCTTCCAATTATCTGTCGGGGGTTTATATTCAGCTTTTGGTGGAGTCCATTCAGACTGTGGGGGTTTGTAATCAGACTGGGGAACTTTGAACTCTTCCTCTTTAGGCGGGGTATACTGAGTTCCAGCCGGTTTCCAGCCTTTGGGTTGTGATTTAGGTCTGGCGGCCTTTGCCTGTTGTTGCTGCAGTTTGGCATCCTGCTGTGGAAAATAAAACACAAGATGTAAAGCCTACATAATTTACAGAATTAAGATAGGTTACATTTGTGTACAAGATGGTCTGGCTCTGTGTCAATGACATGAGACCAGTTAATGAAAATTTAATTTAAATGTAGTTAAAATACAATTAGAATACAATTAAAATTCAATTAAAATTTAATAAACATGTAATCAAAATTCAATTAAATTTTAATAAACATGCAATTAAAATTCAATTCAAATTAAATTTCAATTTAATTGGAGGAGCTGCATACTGTAGAAATTTTGACCACCTTGCATCATGTACGTAAACATTCATCAGACAAACCTGGTTATTATATCATACCTGTTTATCTTGCCATGTTTTGAACACTGCTTTAGCTGTGATATAGGCCTGACCAGCAGCATTAACTGCCGTAGCAACAAGTTGATTGGCAAACTCAGGGGCAAAGTCTACCGTCCTGAAAATATCAAACATTTCCTAATTATCAACATTTATACACATGCTTCATAACATGTCAAGAAAATAATTATATTAAATCAATTATAACAGTAATTACTTTCCTTTCTTAAATTATCGTTTTTAACCATATCTGCCATCATTTCTATATTATAACTACATTTGTATTTTGTATTTGTACAATTTTACACACAAACTATAATTTAGGCACAATTTTACATTTTACACAACCAAACAAAGGGTTCAAACAAAAGAATCTAAGCAAATATTATTACAACTTTATTTCCATTTATAATTGTAGTCCAACACACTAGAATCATATTCAATTCTGCTGAAGAGAAACAAAATCAAAAAACAATCACCAATAATCGAACACAAGCATTATCATTTTAATAATCTTTGATAAAAACTTTGGTATAAAAAATTCCAGTATCTTCCTTAACAATTCCAACTTACTTTCCCTGTGCATTTTGTCCACCTTTCTTGACAAATCTCACATTTTCTGGCATCTGGGCAGACGCGGACACCGGTTCTTTTATTACAGTCTCATCATCAGTTACCTCTCTTTGCTCTTTGTCAGCCGCTTCCGTCTTGAATAACAAAATAAATTTATGTAATATTGTACAGTTCTGATATTTGCATACATGTTTATCCGACTGCTGTTTTATAGCAAGTCTGAAGCAACTCTGTAAATATATATAAATATCCAGTTATCAACATTATTTTTTCTTGGTTTTAGACATCTTCTTTCATATAAATAGGAACCTGCACTTCTATAAACTTGAAAAGCTGTCACATGACCGTGATATTGTGTGTTATGAGTGTCCTATGACAACAAATTCATACTTTATCAGCTTTTCCTTAAACACTTCATTATCTTAATTTAAAAGGGCTTCTACTTATCCAAAGTCACTGACGAAACTCAACTAACAGTGGCAAGGGGCAAAAGGTTTGAGGTCAAAGGCCTCAACCTGTGCCTAAAATTTGAGCTGTGCTGATTTTGAAGTAGTTGCTGAGGAAAAAAATCCTTTATTCTTTAAAATAGTAAGAAAAAACTTACATTCTGAGCAGATGCAGCCCCTGAAGCCAATTCACCAGTGGCTCCCTCTTGTAAAGTATTGGTATCAGTAGACACAGGGGAGCTAACTGCTCCTTGATCAATAGCTGACCCAATCATTATCACAACAGAGTCGCCTTTTCCTGAACAAAGATATACTATATTTAGTAACAATATCTATTTTTGACATTATAAACATGTCAGTTTAAATCAAGGTAACAAACATGCAATATTATAATATTTAATTGGATAATTGTGATATTTGCAAGGCTCTGTAACTTTCAGAAGGAAGAGCATTGAGCAAATTATGGAGGGTTGGGAAAATATTTATGTTTTTAAGGAACAAAGTTGAACCAATTGCTACTAGACTATGATGATATGGAAATCCTGTACTAGTAAAAGAACCATGGCCTTAAATGCAACCATTGTTTAAATCCATTATATATAATTTGCGGTTATGTGCGGTCTTCCATTGATGAAACTATTCTTTACTAATCTTTATAAAACTCACCACTACTATCTGCTCTTTATAAAACTCACCACTACTATCTGCTCTTTATAAAACTCACCACTACTATATGATCAAACTCCTCACACTGATTACCTCCCTTGGCAGAATTGTAATCACTGCCTTCACAGACGTCACATGATGATGAAAGTCACATGACGTAACGTCGAAATTCAAATGTAAATATCGACCGTTACATAGAAAATCTAACGTCATTTTTCTCTTTCTGTTTTATTTTTAACTTTTTGTACCTACGTCCGTGATATTTTAACAAAAAAATATCAAAAGTACACAAAATAATGAAAAATAAATTAAAAAGCTAAAAAATATAAATATCCAAATTTGGATATTTCAATGTTTGTGATGGCAGAGATCTCTGTACTGATAAGGGGAGATCACTGCGTAGGAGATTGCTATATGATCTTTATAAAACTCACCACTACTATCTGCTCTTTATAAAACTCACCACTACTATCTGATCTTTATTAAACTCACCACTACTATCTGATCTTTATAAAACTCACCACTACTATCTGATCTTTATAAAACTCACCACTACTATCTGCAGTCTCCCCACCAATCATAGAGTTACCATTCACATCAGAGTTATCTCCCTTAGCCCCGCCATCACTTGAAGCACTACCATCATTACTTCTTGTAAGAGGCGTGGCTTGTACAGTGTCCACAACAAAGGGTGTGGCTTCTGTTGAATTCTGTTCATTTTGAGAGCTAGGAGGGGTTTCAACTGCCTGAGTTGGGCTCAAAGGCCTAGCTGGTATTGAGCTTGAAGCTGTCAAAATGTCATCAACAGACTGTCTGTTATCTGTAAAGGAAAAGAAATCATTTACAGTGCACTTCACAAAGTAATTCTAAAACTGAGTTCTTTTGCAAATATTTGTAAATGATGACAAATAAGTTATGTGACTTAATGCACAATGTCAAGTACAAAATCTTATTTAGCAGGTGCTCTTTGTGATCCACTCTACAGAATACTGGGATAATCACCAAACTACTTTAACAATATATGAATAACAGCCAAAGAGAAAGCTGTGGCCTTGTGAGTCAGGTGTCTGCTTCTCAATCCAGGTATCATAGGTTCAAGCCCTCATGTTTTCTTCATGTGACAAAATTATTGGTTAGTTCCAGGAATTGGACTAGAGAGTGGTTAAAATAATTTGACAACTTTCTACACAATCCAGTTAAGATAAATGAGCCGCGTCATGACAAAACCAACATAAAATGGGTATGCGACCAGCATGGATCCAGACCAGCCTGAGCATCCGCGCAGTCTGATCTGGATCCATGCTATTCGCTTGCCAACCCTTTTACAAGTAGAGAAACTGATAGCAAACAGCATGGATCCTGATCAGACTGCGCGGACGCGCAGGCTGGTCTGGATCCATGCTGGTCGCAAACCCATTATGTTGGTTTTGTCGTGATGCGGCTCATTAATAATATACATGTATAAACAAAGAAGGCGGAAAACATACTGTGACTGTCTAACATGTTCTGGTTGTCATCCAAGGAGAAATCAAAGTCGGTATCAGCAACATTTGAGTTGGAGTAGCTCGAGATGGTTGACTCCTTCAGAGGTTTGGTCAGATCAAAACAGTCGGGTAGCGGTACAATAATATAATCACTGTCTGATAGCAAGGAATCATCGTCGTCTTCATCAGAATAACTGCTTACTGACTCTAGATCAATATCTTAATAGAAATTATATATATTACGTTATATTAAATGGCCACCTTTAAATCAATATTTGAAAAGCAAAAATATATATATTATGTTATACCAGTATTACAAATGTATATGACCCCCTTTACATAAATAGATACAGTCTAACTTGCCCATGCAACCACGTGTATTAAGGGACTTTTGTCTTAAACGACCACTTTAAATTCCCCCCAATCATTTTCTCTCTATACTTTTAATGTATTAAGTGACTTTTGCTCAACACGACCAGTGACCGCTAATTAGTCACCTAATTGAAAGCAATTATTTCATAAAAGGAAACGCCGCTTCGTAATGTCACAAGTGTCAACAATCAAAACACTACAAATAGATGTGTGAAAAACTCTATTTCCCAACCCGTTTTAGCGTAAGCAAATGAAGTTAAGTATACGCGTGACGTTTATTATCCAATAATATTGAATAAACAATGCAACGCTCCGTCCCTACTGATGTGGTGTATATGCTTCGCTTGTTGACATTTAGACTGTATTGAATTGACCTTGAACTTGATCAGCAATTTAATTAGATAAAGTTTGTTTATTTGTAATGAAAAAAAGCACAACAGAAAAACACCTTTAATAATAGGGTTTTCATGTTGGAGACGAGGAAAAACAATGGAGAAGTTAAAAAATTCTAGAAAAAATGTCAAACATGTACGTAATGGATCAAATAAATATCTGAAAGTTATTTTTTACATTGGCATCCATTTAGATTATAGAGCGTACTAATTATTCTACATTTATATAAAAATAAAGTTGTAAACATTCCAACCGCATAAGAAAGATGTCATTTATAAATTTTGACTTTTATGTCATGCTTTGTCTTCAGAGACCAATTCATTTAGCGACCATTTTGGGTGTTTCCCTTGCGCGGTCACTTAATACAAGTTTGACTGTAAATAAATAGAGGATATTAATTTTGTTTGTTTTGCATGATTGATTGAAATATAATTTCACTGAGTGAACACCAGATGTAATATTTTCATGAGTGGTGTAGCCATAAGTGAAAGTAGAAAAGCTGGTGTTCACAAATGAAATATATTTCAATGTTATAATTATGTAAAACAAATAAATTTTCTTTTCATTATGTGCTTTTTAAGTGATTTTAAGTATTTTTTACTAATTTTGCCGCGTAACGTCGAGCATTCTCCTTTATGACGTCATCACATTATGACATCACATCATCATGTTTGAAATATAGTTCTGTTAAATTTCTTTCATTTTATTATTTAACGTTCCTGCATTTTCTCATGACATTACATCATTTAGCATTGTTTATAAAAATTTTGGCTGCAGATATGGTTAGAAAGCATTGAAAGCGCTAACGAAAATATTGAAAATATGGAGTTTGTTATTTCTTAAATTTTCAACATGTATTTTATCTATTTCAACACTGCACAAGGAACATTTATGACGTTTTAATATTATGTTTATTATATACTTATAAATAAAAAGTTGAGAAATATTGATGAAATAAAATGTATATTTTCATTTTTCCGTATTTTCACTGTTAAAATATCCTTTTCACTGCAATGACGCCTATTTTCCATGTTTTCACAAGTATCTTACTGGACTACTTTTTCTAAATTCTGCCAGTACACAAACTTTCTGGGAAAGTCAAATTGTAATGTCAAACAAGATTGCATTTGAGAAAAATGCTATGCCACCGCATGGTTCAAATTTCATAGCTGTACACCAAAGAACAAGAAAGTAGGTCACATCATCAAAATCTAGGTCACCTGATATCAAAGTTCAATTTTACAACTAAAACTGTGCACATGGTCAAAATGTCATTGCTGTACATCAAAGGACAAGAAAGTAGGTCACTGTCCCCTTGGGCAAGGCATAATTTTGACCCAAGGGTTTAATTCAAAACTATGTTTTTACTATGTGTACATAATGAGAATCACTGCCTCCGGGCAGGGCCAATTTTGACACCAGGGGAAAATTTTGAACAACTTTGGTAGAGGACCTATAAATGATATTACATATCAAACATCAAAGCTCTATGCCTTGTACCTTCAGACAAAAATATTTTTTATTTTTTCACTATATGTACATAATGAAAATCAATGACCCCCGGGGCGGAACCAATTTTGACCCCAGGGCTATAATTTGAACAATCTTGCCAGAGGTTCACTACACAATGTTTCATGCAAAATATCTTAACTCTAGCCTTGTAAATTTAGAGAAGATGATTTTTTAAGTTTGTACTATATACATATAAGGAAAACCTATGGCCACCAGGGGGCGGGGCTAATTTTGACACAAGAGGCAAAATTTGAATAAATTTTGTAGAGTACCATCAGATGATATAATTTAACAAATATTAAAGCTCTAAGCCTTGTACCTTCAGAACAATAAGATTTATTTATTTTTTACTATATGAAATCAATGACCCCAAGGGCGGGGGCAATTTTGACCCCAGGGCTATAATTTGAACAATCTTGCTAGAGGTTTACTACACAATGTTTCATGCAAAATATCTAACCTCTAGCATTTGTCAATTGCTAGAAGAATTTTTTTTTGAAGTTTTTACTGTAAGTTTTTACTATATACATATAAAGGAAAACCAATGACCCCGGGGCGGGGCCGATTTTGACCCCCAGGGCTATAATTTGAATAATCTGGGTAGAGGTCTACCAGACAATGCCTTACGCAAAATATATAAGCTGTAGGCCTTTTGGGTCTTTACAAGAAGGTGTTTTAAGTTTTTACTATATGTACATATAGTGAAAATCAATGACCCCGGGGCGGGGCCGATTTTGACCCAAGGGCTATAATTTGAACAATCTTGGTAAGGGTCTACCAGAAGATGCCTTATGCAAAATATCTAAGCTCTAGGCCTTTTGGGTTTTTACAAGAAGGTATTTTAAGTTTTTTACTATATGTACATAGTGAAAATCAATGACCCTCGGGGCGGGGCCATTTTTGACCCCAGGGCTATAATTTGAACAATCTTGTTAGAGGTCTACCAGACAATGCCTTATGCAAAATATCTAAGCTCTAGGCCTTTTGGGTCTTTACAAGAAGATTTTTTAAATTTATTCTTATAATTCCTTTTGGTTGCCATGGCAACCAGATTTCTGCATGGAATGAAATTCTTTGAACAACTTTGGAAGCCCTTCACCCAAGGAACAATCCTGCCAAGTTTGGTTGAAATTGGACTAGTGGTTTTTCACAAGAAGATTTTTTAAGTTCACTACATATTCTATATAACACACACACAAACACACACACAAACACACACACACACAGGTGAATCGCTATATGCCACCGCATCGCAGATGCTGCGGTGGCATAAAAAGAGGAAAATGTATATAATAAACAGAAAATTCAAGTTCCTCTTAACTCATACTATATCCTTACAATAAACAACAAACAATATAATACTATTTGAAAATGTATTATATGTATGGAGCACTTGGACGATCAGTGTGTAGTGTGTAATACATTCACATTTCAATCATTACATGTAACAATACATAGTTACTATAATAAATGCATCAAAATATATATATATTCATTTTAACACATTCATAGACAATAATCTTAAATTCAGATAATAAAGTCATCTTACAAAATATATTTCATCTAGATGGTTAACACTGAAACCTTTATTCAAAACACATTTCTTGCCAATTTTTAATTTTTTAAGCTGATATTGCCTAGTCGATCGTCCGAAGCTGAATGACCAATACTACACATTACTTTAGCACGAAAACTTCGTGCACGAAACTATGCAATAGGATACTTCATTCGACCAATGGAAAATAATTTTCGTCTAATTCGCTTTCGCTCAACCGTGGAAAATTATATTTTTTTTTCCTATAAATACAGGATTTATTTCCATTTGTGGTATGAAAATTATCATATTTCACTCATAGCTATCACCACTCATGAGTTACAAATTTTCACACCACTTAGTAGAAATAAATCCAGTATTTATAGAGAAAAACGTGAATATTCTCTAATTTTTTTAATTTGTTTTGATTGGGTTTATTGGGTCACACCGACACAGTATTTGCCATCCATAAAGAGCAATTTACAGAAAACAACAAATCTTCATTCCACTGTTCCTTTGTCTTATATAAAATGAATGTTGATTGGTTGTTTTTTTTTAACCTTATTGCATCACATGTTTAATCTGATCTTGGTGCTCAGTCCATTAAAACAGCTTTTCCTGGATAACTAACCAGTAATTAACAATTTCTGTGTGGTCCACCTAAGCAGTTTTTCTTGATAACTTCATTTTTCATTCCTGCAAAACTAACCAGTAATCAAGAGACAAACTACAAACTTTCTTTAAATTAGTAGCTACATGGATAAGAAAATAATGATCCTACCTTAAAGTAACTACAAGTACATCATCTACCTAAATCTAACTACAAGTACCTCATTGAAAATAATTATTCTACCTAAAAGCACATACACGTACCTAGTTGAAAATAATTATTCTACCTAAAAGCACATTCACGTACCTGGTTGAAAATGACTATTCTACCTAAAAGCACATACACGTACCTGGTTGAAAATGACTATTCTACCTAAAAGCACATACACGTACCTGGTTGAAAATAATTATTCTACCTAAAAGCACATACACGTACCTGGTTGAAAATTATTATTCTACCTAAAACCACATACATGTACCTGGTTAAAAATTATTATTCTACCTATAAGCATATACACGTACCTGGTTGAAAATAATTATTCTACCTAAAAGCACATACACGTACCTGGTTTAAAATAATTATTCTACCTAAAAGCACATACATGTACCTGGTTGAAAATAATTATTCTATCTAAAAGTATATACATGTACCTGGTTTAAGTTCTAGACTCTCCATCCGTTCTCTCGTGTAGGAATGAGCAGCTGTGCCATGTGGTTCCTGGACCTCCTCGTTGTCAGGTGATGTCACCAGTTCAACACTACTACTGTTAGACAATGGTTTCATCTCAAACTCGTCTTCAACCTCTACATGTTCATCTTCTGGCTCCGGGTTTGGAGTTTTCAATGGGGTTACATCTATATTATAATGTATAACATACCATAATTAAAACCTGGCTCCAAATTTGGAGTTTTTAATGGGGGTTACATCTATATTATAATGTATAACATACCATAATTAAAACCTGGCTCCAAATTTGGAGTTTGTTTTTAATGGGGGTTACATCTATATTATAATGTATAACATACCATAATTAAAACCTGGCTCCAAATTTGGAGTTTTCAACGGGGGTTACATCTATATTATAATGTATAACATACCATAATTAAAATCTGGCTCCAAATTTGGAGTTTTTAATGGGGGTTACATCTATATTATAATGTATAACATACCATAATTAAAACCTGGCTCCAAATTTGGAGTTTTCAACGGGGGTTACATCTATATTATAATGTATACCAAACCATAACTAAAACCTGGCTTTCAATGGGGTTACATCTATATTATAATGTATAACATACCATAATTAAAATCTGGCGCCGAATTTGGAGTTTTCAACGGGGGTTACATCTATATTACAATATATAACATACCATAATTAAAACCTTGTGCAAGATTTGGAGTTTTCAGTGGAGTTACATCTACATTATAACATATAACATACCATATTCAAAACCTGTCGGTCTGTGTTTTATAGAAATGGTTATGTTATTTTAACAAGTACTTTTTGGGTACAGTATGTAGCTTTTGTTGGATTACTATTTTGTCAAGGTAGGAAAATGACAACTTTATGTGAAAAAGTGTTACAAAAAGGTATTGAAATGATGAAACTATTCATATTTTCTACACTATATACATATCATCTGAAGAATGGATTAAGGTGAAACTACAGTACAAAGTAAAAGATCAGCCCTGCTGCAGCAAGGACTTTACATAGCTATATTTTCCAACTGTTACTTTTTAGATAAAGGATGGTGAAAACCTGGTCTGTAAGGTGATATTACAAGACTTACCAAATGGTGTATTTTTGGGTGTAGTGGTGTATGAGACTAACCAAAGGGTGTATTATTGGGTGTAGTGGTGTACGAGACTTACCAAAGGGTGTATTATTGGGTGTAGTGGTGTATGAGACTAACCAAAGGGTGTATTATTGGGTGTGGTGGTGTATGAGACTTACCAAAGGGTGTATTATTGGGTGTAGTGTTGTATGAGACTTACCAAAGGGTGTATTATTGGGTGTAGTGGTGTATGAGACTTACCAAAGGGTGTATTATTGGGTGTAGTGGTGTATGAGACTCACCAAAGGGTGTATTATTGGGTGTAGTGGTGTATGAGACTTACCAAAGGGTGTATTATTGGGTGTAGTGTAGTATGAGACTTACCGAAGGGTGTATTATTGGGTGTAGTGGTGTATGAGACTTACCGAAGGGTGTATTATTGGGTGTAGTGGTGTATGAGACTTACCGAAGGGTGTATTATTGGGTGTAGTGGTGTATGAGACTTACCAAATGGTGTATTATTGGGTGTAGTGGTGTATGAGACTTACCAAAGGGTGTATTATTGGGTGTAGTGGTGTATGAGACTTACCAAAGGGTGTATTATTGGGTGTAGTGGTGTATGATACAGATTGTTTCCCCTCTCTCTTCTCCCCATTCTCTAGAGAAAGCCGGGCCACAGCTGTACTTAAATCTTCTGCTATGCTCTGAGAATGTTCCATCTCCTTTTATAAAATAAAAACATTACTGATTAAGAAAGGGGGACTAAGCGGTTAAAGAAATCTAACACTTTGAAACTAACATATTATATTGAAATGGTCAGTGTGAAATTGTCTCTCTTTGCATTTAAATTTCACTTTGTTATATTAAAACAAAACTCCAGATAAACATGATAAATATTTGTTTATTTGTTTTTATACCAATTTCAAAATAATTCTCTGTGGTTTGTTCTGCCTAACAGACTTTCCTGAATAACTAACCAGTGATTCAACTTTCCTGGATAACTAACCAGTCATTCAACTATCCTAAATAACTAACAAGTCATTATCAAATTCCTCCACAAGTGACCAACTATCATCCTGATACAATTATTTTTTTTACCAAAGTTATCCAAGACTGGTCAAATGACAAGCACACTGGCCTAGTTCCATGTTTTATTGCCCCTTGCACAAATTATTTTAAGGCTGATACACATCAGAGTAGTGAATGCTGAATAAATACTGCACTATAACAAAGTAATACGTAAAATGAAATTAATAAAGTATGGAACTAGGCCGGCCTGCATGCAATTTGACCAGTCTCTGGTTATTTATCAAATTTCCATTCAATATCCTATAAGCATTACAATTCCAATATTACAAACATTATCAACCTTGGCTTTATCTTTTTCCACTTCAGTTACATCAGCGTCTGCTTCTCCATGTTTTGCATAAACAACATAACCCTCATCTGTCAATGATTCTTTCTCATCCTGAATCCCATCATCCTTTGTTACTTCCTGTTTGTCATCTGCTACAGCCTGGTTCTCTACTTCCTGTTTGCGTTCAGCAGCAGTCTGGTTTGCTGCTTCATCTACAACTTCCTGTTGACTGGCATCACTCTGAACTTCTTTTTGGACTGGTTCAACATCTCTTTTAACAAATACTTCTCTCAAATGCTCTTCTTCTTCTTTTGACCTGAAGGCAATTTCTATTTGCTCCTTGGCTTCTTCCTTGATTTCCTGAAAGATTTAATAAACAAATATAATAATAAATTCTTCTACCCCTATGTTAATACAGATATAAGAATCAGGATCAAGATTAGGATTAAAGATATAATATGCTCAAATTTGAAATTTGGAAAAAAAACTTATGATTACTACACAGTTTATTGTTTTAAACTCTACACACTACATGTAATCACAGTATGGTTAAATAGTGTCATTAAAAAAAATGCAGTTTTTAAAAGAATTGATCCAATTAATTTGACAAGACTTAGTAATAGGTAATGCAGCCCCCCAAACATAGCATAAAGTATACACTGACTTATTCAAATCAGACATATTCAGGAATTGAATAAATTTCTGCAATAATATTTTACCCAAAGATAAGCTTAGTTTATCTTTAGATTTCAAAACAGCTTCCATAGTTTATTCTTATAGATAAAAATAATCAATATTAAGTTTATAAATGTGGACTTTAAATTAAACAGCGTATTTATAAAATTTTAGAAAAAAATTATTACAACTTCCAAGACATGCTTTTACAGTACACATATAATGAGCACTAACAATTTTATAAAGATAAAAGAAGAAATAAAAAAAGAATATGAAATTATTTTTTTTGGAAACATAAATCTCATACTTCTTCCTTTTCAGATTTCTGGGATGTTGCCATGACAACCTTAAGACTGTCTTCTTGATCTGAGGTTGGTTCCAGCATCTCCCTGGGGACAACAATTATTGTACACCAAACCCGGGCACCAAATGGCATACCATTTTCCTGTAACTTCCAATGACTCTGGTATTCACCTGTCAATATTATTTCAGCACTTGTTTTTATTTCTATTATATAAAGAAGGAAAATAATCATAACAATGTCATGACAACATAAGGTCTATGTTCTCTAATTCAACTAGCATGGTAAAATGGAAATACATCTGAATTTTAACGTGTTGTAGTGTTTATGGTTAAGATGTTGTGTGAATGTTCACTTGTACCTGCAACCAGCCTTAGTGATTTTATTATCAAACTCGAAATTTTAGTCCTTACTCTGCTGTTATCAGAAATAATCTGCCTTCACTGCTATAAGAGCTAGGCAAGCATATATTACTCAACAGTCTGACCACGCTCTACTCTGTGGCCTTGCTAATTTCATTACTTTCTTTTTTTATCACTAAAATTGATAACAGACAAGTTTTAATGACTGGAAACTGGACACATGATTTATTAAATCATAAAGTAAATGGCCATGTTGGCTACATTATGTACATAATCCTGCATTTCAAATCAAATATTATTGAAGAAATCTGTCATGAAAGTAAGGTAAGACTTAGCATCTTACCTAGCATCAAAGACATAATGAAATGTCACAGGGTGAGAAAAAATTAGCAACCTGACCGGGACCTGGACCAGGTACCTACCCTTGGGATAATGTACCATGGCCCTACCTACTGAGCTATCTTTCTGCTTAAACATTTTTTAACCTAATTAGTGAACAATTCTATAGATAATACTGTGATTGAAAGGATATACAAAAACAATACTTACAATGAGAATGGATGTATATATCTTGAGAAAATTAAATTAGATTTAAAATCCTTTATTTCATAAACACTTTTATTCAACTATCTTAATTTTGTTTCCTTTTTCTCAAGTGTGAATTGAGGAAAATAAAGTCCGAAATTTGCTATAATCAGTTTCACAATGTACAGACAAATTATAGCTTATAGGTATGAAACAGAACACCAAACATTTATATATAACATAGAGGGGGGGGGACGTTTGTTTGTTTGAATGAATGAATGAATGAATGAATGAATGAATGAATGAATGAATGAATGAACGAATAAATGAATACAGAATTTTATCTGACTAATATTTAAAGGCCCATTATTTCCCAAAAACAAAATTAAGTTTCAGGTAATTGATCAATGAATTATTTTTTTTTGGAAACTATAACTTAAAGGGATACTCAGGCAAAATAATGACAAAAATATAAAAATTATCTTCTGTACTCAAATCACCCTTAAATGACATTTCTTAAAGTCCCAGCATGAATTTCTGTATAAATTCTATATATTTTGGGTTTGAAGCTTGAAAATAACTTTATATGTTGAACGAAATTTAGACGTAAACAGAATCACCGAATAGTTAAAAAACAAGACATGTGATTTGAACAAACCCTGGAAGTTACAATAACAGGTGTTGTGGATATTGTATGATTGAAATAAGTCTAAGTAATTGATTTGACATGTTCTTTAACGTTTCCAGAGTACAAAGTGACAACTATTGTGAAATCTTAGTGCTCTAACCTGACCCACGCGGGTCAAGATAGGAAAACACCATTTTATTCTTTATATGGAGAAAAGTTTTGTTCCTTTGACTGTTTAGTGTATTTATTTTGAGGACATTTACAGAATAATGAATGAAAAATTCAAAACTAAGAAATGAAAATTTTGCCTGTGTCTCCCTTTAACAGGACACCAGAAACCAAAAGCTTTTGAGAAATAAAAAGGAAAGCATATCTGGGGAAAAATGAGCCTTTAAATATCATACATTGTATTCTGTTTTCTCTGTAAACCCACCTCATCAAGAAGTGATTATTCTTACTTCACCCACATTAAAATGTTTCCACTTCTTAGTATATATATATATGCTACATATAACATGTAACAGACAGTTAATATTGTATAAGGAAGCTATTTTTGTTACCAGGTATTAACTGTGAGATAAGTGGGTCATTTTACATTCAAGGAAATCAATATTCATACAAGGACATTATTTTAAACAAGATTTATATTTTTTAATTTAAAGGGCATCATTTCTTACAAACAGGACATCATATTTGTATTTCTTTTAGTTGTGTTTTTAAGTTGCATCAACAGTAAATGTCAAATCATCAAATGGCCACTTTCCTGTTTTACTGATGGAGGAAGACCTCAGGTGCATTTTTATGCATTTTTAAGGCCCAAAAAGGCACCTTAGAAGAACAATCAATGTTCCGTAACCTAGCCAGATGCACATGAAGGCATCCAAAAGTCCCTGATGGGATTCTAATCCGCAGCGGTGAGGGGTAAGTGGTTTGAAGTTAACAACCTTAACCATTCAATCACAGACACACCTGACAGGACATCTTAATATTATTCAAACATTGTATTTTTGTAACTAACCTGGTTGTGTAGGCAACACAAAATGCACTAACCTGGTTGTGTAGGCAACACAAAATCCACTAACCTGGTTGTGTAGGCGACACAAAATCCACTAACCTGGTTGTGTGTAGGCAACACAAAATGTACTAACCTGGTTGTGTAGGCAACACAAAATGTACTAACCTGGTTGTGTAGGCAACACAAAATGTAATAACCTGGTTGTGTAGGCGACACAAAATCCACTAACTTGGTTGTGTAGACAACACAAAATGTACTAACCTGGTTGTGTAGGCAACATAAAATGTACTAACCTGGTTGTGTAGGCAACACAAAATCCACTAACCTGGTTGTGTAGGCGACACAAAATCCACTAACCTGATTGTGTAGACAACACAAAATGTACTAACCTGGTTGTGTGTAGGCAACACAAAATCCACTAACCTGGTTGTGTAGGCGACACAAAATCCACTAACCTGATTGTGTAGACAACACAAAATGTACTAACCTGGTTGTGTGTAGGCAACATAAAATGTAATAACCTGGTTGTGTAGGCAACACAAAATGCACTAACCTGGTTGTGTAGGCAACACAAAATCCACTAACCTGGTTGTGTAGGCGACAAAAAAAATCCACTTACCTGATTGTGTAGGCAACACAAAATGTAATAACCTGGTTGTGTGTAGGCAACACAAAATGTACTAACCTGGTTGTGTAGGCAACACAAATGTAATAACCTGGTTGTGTAGGCGACACAAAATCCACTAACCTGGTTGTGTAGGCAACACAAAATGTACTAACCTGGTTGTGTAGGCGACACAAAAATGTACTAACCTGGTTGTGTGTAGGCAACATAAAATGTACTAACCTGGTTGTGTAGGCAACACAAAATGTACTAACCTGGTTGTGTAGGCAACACAAAATGTACTAACCTGGTTGTGTAGGCAACACAAAATGTACTAACCTGATTGTGTAGGCAACACAAAATATACTAACCTGGTTGTGTAGGCAACACAAAATGTACTTGCCTGGTTGTGTAGGCAACACAAAATGTACTAACCTGATTGTGTAGGCAACACAAAATGTACTAACCTGGTTGTGTAGGCAACACAAAATGTAATAACCTGGTTGTGTAGGCAACACAAAATGCACTAACCTGGTTGTGTAGGCAACACAAAATCCACTAACCTGGTTGTGTAGGCGACACAAAATCCACTAACCTGATTGTGTAGACAACACAAAATGTACTAACCTGGTTGTGTATAGGCAACATAAAATGTACTAACCTGGTTGTGTAGGCAACACAAAATGTAATAACCTGGTTGTGTAGGCAAACACAAAATGCACTAACCTGGTTGTGTAGGCAACACAAAATCCACTAACCTGGTTGTGTAGGCGACACAAAATCCACTAACCTGGTTGTGTAGGCAACATAAAATCCACTAACCTGGTTGTGTAGGCGACACAAAATCCACTAACCTGGTTGTGTAGGCGACACAAAATCCACTAACCTGGTTGTGTAGGTGACACAAAATCCACTAACCTGGTTGTGTAGACAACACAAATCCACTAACCTGGTTGTGTAGGCGACACAAAATCCACTAACCTGGTTGTGTAGGCGACACAAAATCCACTAACCTGATTGTGTAGACAACACAAAATGTACTAACCTGATTGTGTATACAACACAAAATGTACTAACCTGGTTATGTAGACAACACAAAATATTACTAACCTGGTTGTGTAGCCAACACAAAATGTACTAACCTGGTTGTGTAGGTGACACAAAATCCACACTGACATTGCCCTCCTCTCCTGGCTTTAATTCAGGTACATTAACTTCTGCACATGGGGTGGGAATGTTGCCCCACTGTAATTTCAGCTGAAATAATCATTTCATTCCATTTTAAATCCAAGTTTACATTCCCCTACAGTATGTATTTCATTAAAGTGTATTTCTATGGAATACAGATATCTATTGTATTTCTATGGAATACAATAGAAAAATATCCTGAAGCCAAAATGTTGACAAAGAAAATAAATCATATTCATCTGTTCTTGTTGTTTTTCATTCTATCATGAAGTTTATGGAATACAAACACAAAGTATTAAATAAAGTATGATAGTGTGACATATAACCCAACACCAAGAAGAAATACATGGCAATGTTTTTACAGATTCCATACAGCACTTAACATCTTCTATTGTAATCATAAGAAATGAGGAAAAAATGGGATATATATCTCGAGTCACTCTCTAATGAATAATGTGACACCAGAATGTACAATGTAAGTTGTATGTATATACAAACCTTTGTAGTTGATGACCAAACCCCGTCACCATCATTCTTCATTCTCCAAGTCTTTACAAATTTTGTCTCAGGCTGCATCTTGGTATTTTCCGGTATCGTTACCTCGGAAACGAACACAGAGTTCATCATTACTCTGAAACAATACAGATTTGTAAATATTGTAACCCTAAAATTTTATTTCAAACCCTAAATTTCTGTATCCATTTATAACAAAGTTATGGCAATAAAAGCAAAATTCAACACCATCACCATGACAATCAAGGTCACTCTAAGGTCATGGTCACTCTAAGGTCATGGTCAAAATTAAATTATTCAACATGTTGGTGTGACAAGAAGTGTTGATTTGAACAAATATGAATCAAATCCTTTCCAAAATTACCAAGTAAACACAACTCAAGCAAAATACAATAATTTGACCTTGACAGTCAAGGTCATTTTAATGTTGACTATTAAGTTATTACTGAAGAAAGAAGGCCAAAATACCCAGTTTCAGACAAAAAGGGAACCTGTTTACAAATCATCATTGTTTAGAAAGATAGATAATTGCTGTTGACTGAGAGAGTAAGGGCAGGTCTACGGACGCCGGTAGGGAGGGAGCCAAATAATATAAATGCACTAGTATATGCTTATAGAAGTCATGGGGAAGGGGGGGACAGATAGGGAAGTGTGGGGTTTAATTATAGAAATAGCACATACTTGTAGGAAACATGGGGAAGGAGGGACAGATGGGTAAGTTTTGTTTGTTTGTTTGTTTCATTTTACGCCTTTTCCAAACAGTATTTCAGTCATATAGGCGGGTAGTTTCCTAACCATCTTTCCTGGAGAGTTACACCAGTACTAGACTACCTTCCTCCGCGCAAAACTACCAAAGCATCTCCCGGGGATCGATCCCACGCCAGAGAGGTAACTGGATTTGGATTAGAAGTCATCGACTCTAACCCCTCGACCACGGAGGCGGTTAGATGGGTAAGTGTCGGGGTTAATTATAGAAATAATACATACTTGTAGAAATCATATCTGACAGTGTTATCATCATCAAGTATCTCTAGTCTCTCTCGCTTCATCGGAGATTCACTAAATATATCTATACGTCTCTTCAGCTTCTCTTCTCTACGCTTCAATTTCTCAATCTTCTTCTCTGTTTTCTGTCTTTTCTTTTCATCTTTTTGAGCAATCTTTCCCTTCATTTTACTATATCAAAAATACATGTAAACAGAGCAATCTTTCCCTTCATTTTACTATTATCAAAAATAGATAACACAAAAAATTTAACGGACATACATGTGTATTGAAAATTTTCAACATTTTCTCAAATTAGGTACCAGTATTCTGTGTTTCTAACCAGCAATGGGAACAAGTATGACATGCATTATAATACATGTAATTATATTTAATAATTAATTATAATTTTATCATTATAATTAATAACACATTTTACAAATTATTGAAAATTAATCATAAATCAAAAATAATATTTGTGTAAATAATTGATCATAAAGCAGAATTTAAACATATAATCATATTCATAAAATCTCAATTATTTGTATATTGATAATTTTGATTTTATTCGAAATAATCAAAATACTTTCTTTTACTGATACATATGGATGGATGCAGCTTTAAAAAGGAAGAAAATTATTCCATCTTCTTTTTTCTTTTCTTAATGTCATATTAAAATTTTTTATCTGGGATATATAATACGAGTCATATTGCACTGTTTCAAACTGAATGAGATACAGAATATTGCTTCAGTACATTCAAAAATATTGTAAAGAAAACATGCATGAAAGATGAACATTTTCTAATTTTTGTAACGTCAGTTAGTTTACAAAAAAAATCAAATGGAAAATCATTTGAAAAAAAAAAGAAGAAACTTAATATACCTTTCTAGTTTAGAGTTAGCATCGTTCTGATCTTCTTCCCCTTCCCCGTAAATCGGAATCAAAAGCTTTGTTCCGCATTTTCTCTGTGCTCGGTAGATCGAAGTTTTAAGAAGAGGCTTCCTGACCCCGTCAGCTGCAACCCCAACTCGGAAACAAGGTCTTCGAATCTTTACGAACACATGATCAGGGTTGTGAGAACCAGGTTTGTCTTCGCAAGATTCACACAAATCAAAATCAAGACAGTTTCTGTAATATCAATAAAACACTTCTTTAGTTCTACCTCTGTCTACTTAATTAAACTTATTTGCTGGTACATAAATTCATCAACGGTCAGATAATCCTGCCAGTAAAAAACAACTGATGTTATCATAAGCTAAATTTACCAAATAAATATTCTCATGCAGATTACACTGTAGACAGGTATATACTATATATCTACATCTATTTGGAAGGTAAAATACACTTATATCCCTAAAATTCGGTACTTTCATTCAATAATTAAAATCTAATTAATTCTAAAACAATTTAGAATTTTGCAAATTTCCCCTAGGTAAACAAACCAACAAATTATCAAAAATTTCATCAACCTATATTTTGTTCATACATTACAATTTGAGTCTTCGTAACAAATTATTTCAATACTCACCATTATAAAATTATAAGCATGAATTATGTTCTACTTACCCACATTTATATCTTGGTCCAACAATAACACAGTTACAGACATCACAGTACACACCGTCATGTACATACACAGCTAAAAATAGAAAAAAATATAATTAACACAGCTAAAAATAGAAAAAATATAATTAACACAGCTAAAAATAGAAATAAAGTAATTAACACAGCTAAAAATAGAAAATTTATATAATTAACAGTTAAAAATAGAAAAAAAATATAATTAACACAGCTAAAAATAGAAAATTTATATAATTAACAGTTAAAAATAGAAAAAAAATATAATTAACACAGCTAAAAATAGAAATAAAGTAATTAACACAGCTAAAAATAGAAATACAACTTTTCTATCAAAAATAAAAAATAATATTATAAATACACAGCTAATATATTAAGCATACAGCTAAAAATAGAAAAAAATTAAATTTACACAGCTAAAAATAGATATTATAATATAATCCACACAGCTAAATATAGAAATATAACTATTCAATCAAAAATAGAAAATAGTATCGTAAATATACAGCTAAAAAATAGTATAATTAGCATATATCTTATATATACTATTTATAATAATGAATACAAAATGTTCAACTTACGATGTTCACTTGTTTGTGTTTTAGAAGACCCTGCAATTGCTGTATTGGCCCCTGCTTGCAAGAGTGAAGACCCCTGTAAGGATTCTATTACAGCGCCATCTAGACCCTTTAATACTTGCTTCACAGTTTTTCTTGTTACATCTCGAACTATCTCGGTCCGTAAGTCTTTCTTAAGCTAAAATTGTATGTAAAGCTTAATTAAATTTTAATTAATCTATAATCATTAAAACTATCTTATAACTTAATAAGATTAATTCACACACTGAATTTTAACTTAATTTAAGCTATGATACATGTATAACGAAAATTAGATTTGACCAAGTATCCTATACATGTATAAAGAAAATTAGATTTGACAAAGTATCCTATACATGTACAATAAAAATGTTCATTTGATAAAAATGCCACCACTTTTATCTTCAAACACTTAAAAGCAAACTAAAAAATAACAAGAGCACCGCTAGGCGGAGCATTATATGCCCGAAAGTGTTTTTTTTAATAAGGATGAAGCATTTATAAGACATGGGAATTAGCTGTTCATCATATAAAATTTTACAGCTGTAGGTTGATTAATACTCAAGTTATTAATAATGACCTTAACCTTTGACCTTTTGACCCCAAAATCAATAGGGGTCTTCTACCTTATATGGACAATCATCCTAAGAAGTTTAAATATTGTTGGCCAATTGGAACTTTAATTATGCTCTAGAAACTGTTTTCAGTATTAAGGTAAAAGTGACATTGACCTTGACCTTGTGACCCCAAAATCAATAGGGGTCTTCTACCCAATATGGACAAAATCATCCTACGAAGTTTGAATATTGTGGGCCAAATGGAACTTACGTTATGCCCCGGAAACTGTTTTTGGTTTTAAGGTAATTGTGACATTGACCTTTGACCTAGTGACCCCAAAATCAATAGGGGTCTTCTACCCAATATGGACAATCATCCTATGAAGTTTGAATATTGTGGGCCAAATGGAACTTAAGTTATGCTCCAGAAACTGTTTTCAGTTTATAGGATATAGTGACTTTGACCCTTGACCTTTTGACCCCAAAATCAATAGGGGTCTTCTACCTAATATGGACAATCATCCTATGAAGTTTGAACACTGTGGGCCAAATGGAACTTAAGTTATGCTCTGGAAACTGTTTCCAGTATCAATGTAATAGTGACCTTGACCTTTGACCTTGTGACCCCAAAATCAATAGGGGTCTTCTTCCCAATATGGACAATCATCCTATGAAGTTTGATCACTGTGGGTCAATTCGAACTTAAGTTATGCTCCGGAAACTGTTTTCAGTATCAAGGTAATAGTGACCTTGACCTTTGACCTTGTGACCCCAAAATCAATAGGGGTCTTTTGCCCAATATGGACAATCATCCTATGAAGTTTGAACATTGTGGGTCGAATGGAACTTAAGTTATGCTCCGGAAACTGTTTTCAGTTTTAAGGTCATAGTGACCTTGACCTTTGACCTTTTGACCCAAAAATCAAAAGGGGTCTTTTACCCAATATGGACAATCGTACTATGAAGTTTGAACATTGTGGGTCCATTGGAACTTAAGTTATGCTCCGGAAACTGTTTTAAGTATCAAGGTAATAACGACCTTGACCTTTGACCTTGTGACCCCAAAATCAATAGGGGTCTTCTACCTTATATGGACAATCATCCTATGAAGTTTGATCATTGTTGGTCGAATGGAACTTAAGTTATGCTCCGGAAACTGTTTTCAGTTTTAAGGTCATAGTGACCTTGACCTTTGACCTTTTGACCCCAAAATCAATAGGGGTCTTCTACCCAATATGGACAATCATCCTATGAAGTTTGAACATTGTGGGCCAAATGGAACTTAAGTTATGCTCCGGAAACCAAATTGCTAATGGACGGACGGACGGACGGATGTACGGACGGACAGACAGACAGACAGACAGACGGACGCCAGGGGGTATAACATAATATGCCCTTTCGGGCATATAAAAAGACTAAGGAAATTGAAATTCTGACATTCAATTTATAATAGATAACAAAGAGTTCCTGGCATTTCTTTTTTAAATATTTTTTCCAAATTTTTGCCAATTTCAAATCTTCATTTTAAAACCTCGCTGTACTGAGGTTACTGGGAGAGGCTTTAATCATTTAAATACTGAAAAACATCACTGTTTTCACCCTTCATAAATTCACAGAGCTTTAAATATGGAGTTCATTGAAATTATAAGGAATTTCACTAGTATCAAGGTTTTTTTTTGTATGTTAAGTCACAAATTTCAATTTTCGTTGAGACTGTTTTAAGAGACTCCCTGTCATAAGTGACCTTTTTCTAAACGCCCCTTGGAAAGTCACATATGACAGTCTCAACTGTATAACAAACTTCACTACTTAAATACTAAAATTGAGCTACGACTAGTATACTGGCAGTATACTGGTAAATCAGACTGTAACAACATGCTCTATATTGTAAGCGAATACTAATCATTTTAGTTCCATTACTAACTGAGCTTGTAAATAATAACAATGTTTTACACATATATACCTTAGTCATGAAAGTGACAAATTCTGAGTAGGGAAGAAGATTTTCTGATCTATCTGTCTGTTCATCACTACTTCCTTCCTTGCGCCCGGCTTCTACCTCATGTAATACCTATATAACATAAAACAAGTATGAATATCTATATAACATATAACAAGTATGAATATCTATATAACATATAACAAGTATGAATAGCTATATAACATATAACAAGTATGAATACCTATATAACATAAAACAAGTATGAATATCTTTATAACATATATAACAAGTATGAATATCTATATAACATATAACAAGTATGAATATCTATATAATATATAACAAGTATGAATATCTATATAACATATAACAAGTATGAATATCTATATAACATATAACAAGTATAAATATCTATATAATATATAACAAGTATGAATATCTATATAACATATAACAAGTATGAATATCTATATAATATATAACAAGTATGAATATCTATATAACATATAACAAGTACGAATATCTATATAACATATAACAAGTATGAATATCTATATCACATATAACAAGTATGAATATCTATATAACATATAACAAGTATGAATATCTATATAACATATAACAAGTATGAATATCTATATAACATATAACAAGTATGAATATCTATATCACATATAACAAGTATGAATATCTATATAACATATAACAAGTATGAATATCTATATAACATATAACAAGTATGAATACCTATATCACATATAACAAGTATGAATATCTATATAACATATAACAAGTATGAATACCTATATCACATATAACAAGTATGAATATCTATATAACATATAACAAGTATGAATATCTATATAACATATAACAAGTATGAATAGCTATATAACATATAACAAGTATGAATATCTATATAACATATAACAAGTATGAATATCTATATCACATAAAACAAGTATGAATATCTATATAACATATAACAAGTATGAATAGCTATATAATATATAACAAGTATGAATATCCATATAACATAAAATTGAATGACATCAACTTTATCATACTATTAATTACAAAATTTGTTTTGGGTTATATATAACGAGAATTAAATAAAGTAACATTAACTTCATAATATTGTCAGCAAATTAGATTTTATGACAGGTAAGAAAGTAAACAGCGAGCCTATTATACACACAGCCACATAGCCCTGGTTTTAATATGATGAATTTATAATCAGTACAATTATTTATTTTGTTATTAAAATAAAATAAGTTAATATTTTTTCAGCAGCTATGTATAGGTTAGAGTTCATATTGGGTGTTCTTCGTAAATAAGAAAGCTAAAAAGGAGCGGAGCTTGCGAAGCGACTGTAGCTTTCTTATTTACGAAGAACATCCAATATGCACTCTAACCGGCATTGTGCTCCGCCCATTTTTTTCCGCCCAACACACTGCGTGACGTCACACGATAGCCTAAATGTGTATAACCATATTTGAAGAGTAGCGGTACACATTTTCGGGTCACGTGTTTTGCATAGCTTATTCCCGCATTCTGTCTAGGTAAATCAGACAATATCACGTGCATATCCATATCGGTACCCCTCTTTGCGAAATATTCTCAAACGGTACCCTCTTTGAACATACACAGGTCATTCTCTGCTAAAAACAAATCAGCGATGGATAACAATGCAGTAAAAATTCATTGTAATAAGAAAAGGAGGTATGACCACGGAACACTAGAATGTTTTATTTATGTGCTGATTTGTCATGTGCCCGATTTTCATGTACTGCAACTTCACAATAAGCTACAAAAAGTCGACATGTCTTGCCTCGCCCGTCACCTCGACATATTTTTCGGGCTGAAATGAACCTGTAGCTTGATTATATATGCAGCATACATCTTCGGACAAATGGCAGTATATTGTCAAAAATAAATGTAAAATTAATAAAAACACCCTACTTTCGGTTTTGCAGCGACACGGGCTGTTATATTTACATAAAAAGTAAGAAATATTACATACATACTTTGTTGGAATAAGTGAACTTTTTATTTGGAAATTATAAAATGATACTGGTTCCGTAAGTAATAAAACATTTTTACTGTTATTTTGCCTGTTTTCATTTCAATGAACTTCTTTTTTTTAATTCTATGCCGTAGTGACGATGTGCGTGTACAGAAAAAAATGATGCATAAATATTGATTAGTAGGAGTAAACTTCAAGATCTCTGCACATGCGTATATTTCACTTTAGCGCTCTTCGAAACTTAGCTCCGCCCACTTGCGTTTTATAATATAAAACGTCCAGTTTATATAAAATCTGTTCTATTAAGATTTGAAACCTGAAAATTTGAAAAATCCTCGTCAGTGATTGGCTTAAAAAAATTGGCGAGCACTAAATACGATTATAGATAATAATGTAACATTTTTGTCAATACGGACGGACAGTACAGCATAAACTCTTAAGTCCTTTCTTGCAGTTTACACCATAAATGTATCAAATTGGTTTAGAGCTTTCATGAATGGTATCACTTTTAGCTAGCTGTTTTGAAGAGAAAAGTCGAGCTATAACTGCTGCCCGGCTGTCATTGTCATGCTACTTTAAAGTTTTATGTCGCACAAAGACAGAAAAGGTCATACGGCCACTTTCCAGCTGTACTGGTGGAGGAAGACCTCAGGTGCCTGACCTCACTGTGCGTTATTTAAGAAAATTCAAAGTCCTTTGAGGGATTTGAACCATATTGAGGTCAGATTCGAATCTCATTAACCTTTGCCACTGGTCAGTATATAGTCAAACTTCAGCCAAGTCAACCTGTAGAGTTGTAGACTAATCATACTCTATACTGTTGGTAGATCATTTTTTGTATTTTGGATTTTCTCAGCTTTAAATTTACAAGAGTCCATTCAAAGCATAAGGTATTTCACTATCACAAATTCACCAGGTAACTACAACCTCCTACACAGTAAACTCCCCTTATTAGTACATGTACAGAGATCTCTGCCATCACAAACATTTTTATCAATATTTTGATATTTAATATTTTTTAACTTTTGAATTTATTTATCATTATTTTCAATACTTTTGATAATTTTTTGATAAACTATAACAAACATAGGTACGAAAAGTTAAAAATAAAACAGAAAGAAACAGTCGATATTAATATTTGAATTTTCATGTTACGTCATGTGACTTTCATCATCATGTGACATCTGTGAAGGCAGTGATTACAATTCTGCCAAGGGAGGAGTCTGGGTAAACTATTGTAGTGTAAGGATGTTATTTTTGTTGGTTACACTTACTTCCCATTGCGCTCCTTCAGAGTTGGCAACAAATTGTTCACTTGAATCAGGAAATATAATCTTGCTGGCTTCCAGCTCAGATTCTGTTTTATGGACAACTTCATCTTTATTGGTTCCCGCTTCGACTCTAGACTGGATCTCATCATCAACCATAGACTGGTTCACATATTCACCAGACTGGTACCTTTCTGATTCTGTGAAGAAGAGTAATTCAATATATAGGCAAACATTTTCACACAGTAATACAAGTCATAATCAGTTGTTTTTCTTCAAAGTTCATGACAATTTGTAACAGCCTTAGCTTGTCCAAGTGTAGTAAATATTTAAAATCTTGGCTGATGATAATTCCACTTAAACAGGTATGTTTGTGTGTTTCATTTTACGCCTTTTCCCAACAGTATTTCAGTCATATAGGCGGGTAGTTTCCTAACCATCGTTCCTGGAGAGTTACACCAGTACTAGACTACCTTCCTCCGTGCTAAACTACCAAAGCATCTCCCAGGGATCGAACCCACGCCAGAAAACAGGTATGTAACAATTTAAACATATGAATGTTGTTCATAACAACTAAGTAAGCTAACCTGTTTCAACATCAGGCATCGGAATAGCAACATGCGGGTCTGGACAAATCTCTCTTAGGTCAAGAGGCTCTGTAAACATACAAACGTATAATACAATCAACCTCAGATTATATACCATGCAAATTAGTTTACCAGATACAGGCAATCTTTATACAGGTTTATTAAATCCAACATGGCAAAAACATTAAAACAAGCCTAGCCATTAGTCATAACAGTTAATCTATTTTGAGCATTTTCACTAAAACCTGTATCTTTTACATAAAAGGCAAACCAGTCAGTTCCAACATAATGAGAACAACGTGATGGAATAATTTTACTTATTAAAGTGACATTATATTCATATTTTCATTGCCAAGTAGAGCTGAACTATATATTTCAAAAGACCAATTATTGTTATAATGGTGATTGACAAACAGTTGATATGAGACAATGCTTAAGGATAAAATATAAATCTGCCTTATAAACTAAAATGACTATCCTACTATTTTGTTATCAATAGAACAATACAGGAATAGTAAACTCTTATGGATATTTACAGATATTTCTGAGAAATTTCCGACAGCCACTTGAGATAATATATTAATTTACCGTTCATGCAAAGTTAATTATAAAATTGAAAAGAATAATGGCTAAATGTAAACTTATTTTGACTTTCACCAGCTTACAAACTATAAACTCTTAGAATTCTGACAGAAACTTTGTACTCTGTCATATGAGGAAGCTATCCAGCTAGCTTACTGAACGTCTGTGGTTCTACTCAGGTGTCCATTTGTGCCTGAAACAATGCAGGGAAAGGCACCTGAGGTCTTCCTCCACCAGTAAAGCTGGAACATTGCCATATGACCTGTTATGTGTCAGTGTGAGGTAAAAACCAATCAAACAAATAAAACCTTAGATGGGTATAATGTCACTTCAAGGAACAAGACTTACCATCTTCCCTGTCTATGACCTGTTGTTGCGGTACCTCGAGGGGACGTCCCTCCTCTTCATCCTCCACATCTGGCATTCTAAACACTGGGGTTTCAGGGGATAGAGGCATTACTTTCACTTGTAACATGTTCTTCACCTTCATTGCCATCTATATAACATTTATTATAGTTTACAAGATTAGAGGGGAAAAAACAATGTTCTTAGGTGAAAAAAATAGTTCCTAGTCCAATCTAGTTATAATGAAAAAGTAGTACTTCAGTTTTAATGCACAGGAAAAAGTAGTTCTTGAATCAAAGTGGTTATGAAGTAAAACATTATTAGTGTTAGCTTAAGTTGTCAGTATACTTTTTTACTTGACAGGTCGCCATCCTAAATAAAGATCTTATAAATAAAGTAGGCACACATTTAGGTAAGGTATCATATGTATAATAAGTATAATATTACAAGGCAACATATGGTTACTGTAAATATTCTACCTTTTTTCAATCACTGTTACAGTTGTTGTTTTGTGTTTTTTTTGGTTTTTTTTTTTCATTTAAGTGTTAGATGACTTGTGAAAAGTAGGATAATATTCAAAAATCCTTCAACAATTTAATTATTTGGTATAAAAATATTGTTAAATTGTTTACCCTAAAAGCTTCAAAAAGTTCCTCCTGACTTCCAATAGAAACCTGTGAAAAATAAAATAAAAACATTCTTATAAAAGCTTTTTAATTTAAACCTCAACCTTAACTGTCAGGCACTATATTAGTCCAGAGTGTCCTCTAATTCAAAGTAATCATACATGTAAACCCTCCCACTTTAAGTGGAAGACTCACACTTTCTGCAGACATATTTTCTAAGATTTTTCTTAAAATAAGGGGTATTTTCACAAATTAAAGAAATCTCCCTATTTTTAATGTCAGAACTTCCTTCTTTGTTTATTGTAAATTCTAAAATCTCCCTCTTTTTGAAAAAAAATCTCCCACTTGATCATCAAAAAAAGTTCACATGTATCACAGTATGAGTAATTGTTAAAACTACATGTCATGCATCTAGATTGAGCAAATTTTTGTTTTTATATTAAAATCAATTAAAAACAAACATAAAGAAAATTACATCAGAAGTTATAGAAATGTACAAATATTGAAAATCAGAAGTTATTTTTCATGTTGCAATTTTCATTACTAGTACATGTAATTAATATGAAATTAGGCAAAGCCTATGAACGGGGAAGTCGGTAAAAAATCCTTTCATTTTTCTGTTTTAAAGGTGTCATTCGGTATTATATGTACCCACTTCCGTTTTCACTCGGAACACTCGACGATTATTATTAATCCGAAAAGTTGAGATTTGGTACGTTATCGGAATACACAGCCTTTTATCATTGAGTTACATTGTAAATGGCGGCGCCTATCTAAAACTGACACTGAAAATTTCATTGATAGGTATAGAACTCTATATATTTTTTAATTGTTTTTTATTTTAATTTTCTTTTAAATATACACGTGTAGTCTATAGCCGGGCAAGCCAAAGCCCGGGCCCGCGACTTTGACTTCCCCGTAAAATGAACCTTATACACTTATCTATCAGATTTACTGGTAACCTTGTTTATTGTTTTAACTTTATACATCTTGTTATTTTCTTCAATCTTGAGATACTAGAATTAAGTAGTCAATAGTTAAGTGTTTATTCTAAGGACATAGTTGACCTTATTTTCTTACTGCCTAATTATAATAAGCATTGACAGACCAATTAAAGTCATTTTAAGAGTGGTCTTCAGCTTTTATTTTCTGTTGGAAAAACAATTAAATTCAGTGTTGTTTCAAACCAAGTATTTCAGTAATGTAATCTTGGAAAAATGCATTATATTTCTGTTCAGCCTTCTTCAAAAACAGTGTTCAGAGATGTTCGTTTCACAAAATTGAAGATCAGGAAACAAATCGTCCACTTTACTAACTTAAATATAGAGAGCAAACCATTAGAGGTATCAAGAGGTTTTTTCATTGTTAATCTATTTTATCATTGGCAAATTTCATTTTCCACCTTAATTCTTTTAATTTGACAATAACAAGTACATGTATATGAAACGATTTTTCTAAAAATAATGTATTTGAGCCGCGTCATGACAAAACCAACATAATGGGTTTGCGACCAGCATGGATCCAGACCAGCATGCGCATCCGCGCAGTCTGATCAGGATCCATGCTGTTCGCTATTAGTTTCTTTACTTGTTATAGGGACTGGATCCTGATCAAACTGTGCGGATGCGCAGGCTGGTCTGGATCCATGCTGGTCGCAAACCCATTATGTTGGTTTTGTCGTGATGCGGCTCATTTAACCTTAACAAAAGCTGAAGGCTGCGTTAAAAGTATGGTGACATGACATCACTCATGTAGTATACAAATTATCTAACTTATCTTTATAGGTGAATACCAAAAGTTTATAGTAACAATGTTAGTTTTATCTCCTAACATTTTATCTAACAGTTACCGATATCTATAAAGATACAAAGACTTATTAATCAATATAACTTCCCCATTTATATATATGTAATATTTATGTTTTGTTTTTGTTTGTTTTTTTTATTTTACGCCTTTTCCCAACAGTGTAATATTTACAAAATAATACGAGCTTTGAAAGTTCTCGTTAAAAATATGAATATGTTGATATAGTAGTCATAATGTTTCTGCCATAATTTATATTACACAGACTGATATTAATATCATTAATTATTCACAATTTTAAAAATTCATTTATTTTAAATTTTAGGTTAAAACAAAATTGTTTAAAATTGGTTACGGTATTAGTTATTTCATTTTACCAAGGCTCTGAAGTGTAATAAACCCATTGTATAAAAACGTAAATTATTACACTTGTGTAATAACACTTTAATGCAACATCATTTGCGTTTTATACAAAAAAAACATTTTAAAGCATGGTTGAGATAGCGTAACACTATAAGCAAGGAATTGAAAACCGTAAACTGTTCTTATTTTAGATATGTAAAAAATAGACTATTTTATTCATGTATATTCAATACTAAATTTATTAAACTTGTTGAATAAATCTATATTACCGTATGTTCACCAGAGGCTCGCATAACATGATTTTATTCAACTCCTTATAGGGCCGGAAGGCAATAATCGGGCTGAAGCCCTCGGGGCCATTATTCATTTTGCGGGCCGATTATCACCTTCCGGCCCTACTCTGCCGTGTATTAATCTCTTTAATTTACTTGGTAGATTCAACAGTAGCATTTTTTTCTATTAATAAATACTAAGTCTTTGACATTTTTTTTCGTTGAAATTCCTGTCTGCATTTCTACTGTAGACTTATCTTAACAGTTCAGTAACTTCTACAGAGTTGTTAACTGTTTGTGTGTTAAAAGTACACTACTGTAGGATCTAGACACAAGTTTTATTTTCATTTTTTTTCGGAATGAATTTGTCGTATTATTTCTTTAAATTTCAATAGTAATAAAACTGTGTTTGTACGAAATACGCTTAAGCTCTCATAATAAAATCAAGCGATTCGTACTGAAAACCTACTTTCACTTTTACAGTTAACTGTTTGATGACGTAAAATATGACGTCATTGTTTCAGTTTGTGCACCTGTACATGTTCGGCGGGCTGATAACTAGTTCTTGGCACCGGGCCCGGGTGTATGATGTATCTCCATTTAAAATATACATGTAGCTCTATGATTAAATGTAACCAATGAAAGCCATTATCTGAACCATCATGATTCTATGTAAACCAATCAAATTGGCCTCATTTTCATTTCCTGAGTCCAAAAGTTACATATCAAATCCATATTGCACTCAAAGTAACTGTATCTTTCATATGATACAAAAAATATGGTTGGTGTTTTGTGTTGTTTTTTTTTTTTTTTAATCTAAGATCTTTTCTCCTTAAGAATTGGTGGTGAGGAATATATTCACATCAATTAAACCTATATTGGACTTGCCAGATAGAATTCAGTATTGTACTCAACAAAGTTTAATAACCTCATAACATACAATGTATTTATTACTAAAAAGTTTTCTGTGTATGCACTAAGTGCAACAACCACAAAGTTACAAATCCATGTCACAGTAGCACATTTTTACAAGACTACCACAAAACTGTTCCGGAACATTGATATTGTATTTTGTATTACATTACAACACTACAATCAGTTTCAGTTGAATAATTGCCAACTTGTATCATTATATCATTATTATAATAATACTCTTTCATTGGTTAATGTAAAGATGATCAAATCAACAAGGAAGTCAGCCAACTATCAATTCTTTTATATTTTATAAGATTTCATATTTTGTCAAAAAAAAACTGTCAAAACCTTGATTTTTTTTTACTTCATCTTAAGTCAATGAAACTATCAATTCTTTCATATTTTATTATTTATTTATTTATTATATTTTGATAACTGTTCTTCATCTTTCCACTTCTTCAAAATTTCTCCTTTTTTTTACAATAAAAGTTATGTATATTAAAATCTTATAAACAAGAGGACCATAATGGCCCTTAATCGCTCTCATGAGGATTTATTTTACATGAAAAAAAAAGATTTCATTATTTGGCCATTCCAATTAAGTTTCATCAAATTGTGAATAGTGGAAGTGAAGAAGATTTTGGTTTATCTTTAGTTCGATTGAGTAGGAAGTTTAAACTAGACATACACTGGATTTCGTTCCAGGAACCAACAAGTACTGAGTAATGAGTGTGAAGTTTCCTGCTCTAGGAAACACTAACGGCTCTCCCCTGATAGGACTTGAACCCACACAAGATTTCTGGTCCGTCCCGAAAAGCACTCGGCCATATGTTGTTTAAGTCATATGTTAAGCATAAAATCAGCCATCTTGTTCAACAGAACATAATGATTTTTTTGTCATATGATTAATGGACCTTAACTATTGCTACACAGTTTAACAATTACTTAAAGATAAGCAAATGTTAGTACATGTCCGGGAGTATTTATAATGTGACCAGTCTTTAACTGAAATACTGTTAAAACTGGTGATTTATACAAAGTCCATCCCCCACCCACCAAACACAACAGGGAATAAACATGTAATACATAGTGCTATATTGACTTAGAATTTAAGCTGATCAGCAGTCACCATACTGTATGCACAGGTGAACGTCGCGTGGCCATGACTTACACTATACCCCTGTTCCCCCTCTACCCAAAACCCTTAAACATCATTCAAACATCTTAAGTATTGACATGCGATGTTCACCTGTGACTGTATGTTTTTGCATAAAATCAAATATTCAGCAAGAAGGACAAATTGTCACAGACATTTGCTACCTTATTGTTACCAAGACTGAAGTTCTCAGAAAATCAAATACAAACTTGACAATTAGGATCTTATCTAACAGACTACAGCATACCTCGTCATTGTCCACATCCATGTAACTGACATTTACCCTGTCACTGTCAAGTCTTGCCTTAAACTGAAATACAAGTAAAAATATGAAACATAAAAAGTATTTATTTAAAGTGTTTTTATGACACTGACAAGGTTAAAAAAAGATATGATAAACTTTTACTAGTGGATAATGTTATTAGGTTTGCTACTACGTATTTTATTTTAGAAACATAAGGAAACATCTGTTCTTCTAAAAAATACACAATAGCTAAAGCAGGATTCAATCCCACAGTAACCAGGGGCAATAATGTCAGAAGTCACAAAATCAAATGTTGAAAAAGAAAATCTTGAAAATAGTTTAAACTAAAGTCATGAAGCTGATTTTTTCCTTCAGACTTAATAAACACAAGATAGTGTAAAAATGATTGTCTAGTATGGTGGACCATCACTGTATCTATAATTTATTTTACATGTCACTGTTTTATCAGCCAAATGTAACCGTGGTCTAAAATCCCAGGAATGGTAGGGTATTTGAATTTTTTTCTCATATTTTGGGTTGGATTTTACATTGCACAAACACAATATAGGTCATGTAGCAACTTTTGCGCTTTACTGGTTTGGAAGAAACCTTCAGACGCCCTTCTGTGCATTATTCCAGGCATAAACGGGCACATGAGTAAAACAACCAACATTCTGTAAGCTAGCTGGATAGCTTTCTCAAATGAAAGAATCCAAAGTAGGCCTATTTGTTGGGATTCAGACACACAGCCCTAAGGGGTCAACAACCTTAACCATTTGGCCCCTTTTATTTTTTCTAAACATGCTGATTCATATTAATTGCATCAATAACAATTTATTTTTTATACATGTCACAGTGTGAGAAAAATGTGAAGACTGGACCAACTTAGTCCAACTAATTAGACTTGTCAAAGAGACACCGAGATAATTTTGGACGGGCGCTGTCTTTTTCCAAGTCCAACCACGAACTGCATTTGGACGCTTCCCAATTAGAAGTTGTTGGGAGCGAAAACTAGAAAAGTTTCAAAGAAACGGTCTACATTACCTGAAAGAGAATCGTTTTTTATGCAAGGTTCCAAATTATCATACTTCAAATTCGAACAGAAGTCTAAATATTCCACTTTAATTTTTTTAATCGTTGAAAATTATTGAAAGCGGCCATATTGGAAAGCGGTGTCATGGTAAAATTGTAAACACTGGTAAAATCCATGGTGTAACACAGGTATCGGCGGCAATCGATTGTATTTGCCAAGCTTTATTATACAATTTGTTTACGTTATTTATATGAATTATTGCAGGAATAACTCTTTTATTCACAAAACAATATTTCAGCATTAAAAAGGGAATGTGTAAAACGAAATTATGACAACCTTACTTAGAAATTAAATAGTTTATGATGTCCGATGTCAGATCATACTATATTTAAGTCCGTTTAAATTGTCAAATTAGATATTATTAAGTTGGATTTTTTAACATCTGTGATCATAAGGTGAAATTTCTGAACTACCTTTTTATTTTATAACCCTGCCATGATTTCCCACATACGAAAATACAATGTAATTGTAGGTACATCTTAATGAATTATAATTATGCTATACATGATGAAGCAAAGAAGAATTTCAATTTATATTACACTCCATATCAATTTCTAGTTTATTATCTTTAAAAGAAATTGAGGACGGTTGTGTATGGGAAGAAGTTCAAAACAACCAAAAATAACTTTAAAACTCTGAAAAAAAATCTTAAAATTTCAAACTATAAAATGGAATTTCAGACAGTCCTCAGTAAAATACAATTGTCGCACAGATTTGACGGGGTTTATGATAAAAAACACAGCAAGCGGAAATTTAGTGACCGTTATTTTAGATGTTGAATAGCATAACAATGTAAGACAGATGGGAGAAATGTTGGAACGACTGTCGCAAAAGGCACCAAAACCTCTGATACCCATTAAAAATTCCATGTTATCTAGTTCCCGTTGAACGGCACCTCGAATGTGTCACATTGAAAGTTCCATGATTACCGCCGTATTATGTACACATCTGTGGATGTTGATTAAAAAAATCAACATTATTATGTTTAAGTGATCAATTCTGTTTAAACCGGCGAAAGGGAGCACTTGAACCTACCAGAGCCGTCTTTGGCACTCATGTGTATTTATGTTTCGATTTTGCAGTTTCAGGCGTTTTTGGTGGGGGTTTTTTGGAGGGTGGATACATGAATGTGGATAAGTTTTTTCTGTTTCTTTACATTTCTTTGCTTGCTTGCCGAACCTTGTATTGATAATCATTATCTGTTTGTTACGGTTCGGTATACATGTATACAATATGATAAACAAGATGAACAAGGAAAGGCGGCGTTCAATGAACGCAAACCCCACACGACCCAGGAACATGAACCATTGGCAAGGAGCCCAGGAGGATCCTAAATTAAAACGGGAAAGGGCGCAAGGGAGAGCACGGTCAGGCTTATCACTAAAATGTAACTGAGAAGGAAATCAAAGAAAATAAATAAATGAATGATTAATAGGACCACTAAAATAGATAAATACAGAATCCCTAAAGAAAGACCACTAAGACCACTAAGTTAACGAGCACAGGGGAAGGGGATATCATAGGAAATTCGGGGAGGGGGCGAAATAAAGAAATAAAACTAGGGGCAAAGGGAAGATACTTACCAAAGACGAAAAAACAACAAGGGACACAAACAAAAGTGTCACCAAAACAGTATGAAACAGGACCACTAAGTTAAGGGCACAGGAGAAGGGGATAGGAAATTCGGGGGAGGGGGCGAAATAAAGAAATAAAACTAGGGGCAAAGGGAAGATACTTACCATAGACATCAAAACAACAAGGGACACAAACAAAAGTGTCACCAAAACAGTATGAAACAACAAGACATACACCTTATACATTTATAAGTCTCTTAATCTGTTCATTTGAAAATTCTGATCTTCTCAATGACTTTTTTTAAATATCCTCTACTTAAAATTTATTTCAATTAAAATATGTGACCCTTCCTTTATAGTTACACAGCATATGGCTGGATCACAATAAAGTTCCTTTTTAGTAAATTAATAAAGTATGTCAAGAAGACATTTAACTTTATCAATAGGTTTAATATGGTATTATATATCGGCAATCGGTGAAAAAGAGCTCTTGAAATATTATTTGTACAAATACTGAATAATTTGAAGTGTATTTCAAATAGTTTCCTTCAATATTTCTTTTACGTTCTTAATTGTCATATAAATATGCATGTATAAATGAAGTCAGTATTTTATCCGAGAGTGACATTTGGCAGTCATTAGCAGTAAACAAGAAGGCAAACCACTTATTGATAAATGTTGAGTTCAAATGTACATGTATTAAAATATTTAAAAAATATTAAACAACAGTACTTGTACGGAGCCTATTTGCGACCATTGCATTTTAGGTTAAATACAATGATACTTTTCAATAGTATTTAATAATGCACACATTTATTAAAAAATGATGAATAGATTTATTTCCCCCGATATTTTGTTTAATTTAATCTTCATTCGTAACCCACACTTACCTGCTAGACACACTGGTAGCTACTACCAGCTTTCACGGAATCGATTTTTTACGATGACGTCATAACATGTCCGCCGAAGATAGAGTAGACAGTACAAATTTGAAATAAATCGCATGTATGCGTTAAGACAGGTACAATCTAATATTTTTTCTAGGAGAAGTTAGTACTAAAATGTATATTCTATTGATCTTTAGAGGTAATTGATGTTACTTTTAGGTTTAAGCAGTAAAAATCAGTCCAAACTATCGATAGTGTTACCGGTAGATTTTCCGTGCGTAAAAATGACAGTTAAAATTAGGCGTAACGGTTTGACAGTAAGAAAAAAAAAAGTCTGTAAAATGGGTCAAACCGATCACGCCGAATTAATTAGGCTAGGACCAACTGGGCTATCAGACAGCTTACACACTTTCTCCCCTGACGAGTGAACAATTCTAGACTGTGTTACTCTCACACTGCCTAAATTTCAAAATTTATCCTTGAACTTCAGTGAAACAGATACAGAATAAACTTGGAGCTTAATACAGCCACAGCCCCAGACTTAGCCTAATTAATTCGGCGTGATCGGTTTGACCCATTTTACAGACTTTTTTTTTTCTTACTGTCAAACCGTTACGCCTAATTTTAACTGTCATTTTTACGCACGGAAAATCTACCGGTAACACTATCGATAGTTTGGACTGATTTTTACTGCTTAAACCTAAAAGTAACATCAATTACCTCTAAAGATCAATAGAATATACATTTTAGTACTAACTTCTCCTAGAAAAAATATTAGATTGTACCTGTCTTAACGCATACATGCGATTTATTTCAAATTTGTACTGTCTACTCTATCTTCGGCGGACATGTTATGACGTCATCGTAAAAAAATCGATTCCGTGAAAGCTGGTAGTAGCTACCAGTGTGTCTAGCAGGTAAGTGTGGGTTACGAATGAAGATTAAATTAAACAAAATATCGGGGGAAATAAATCTATTCATCATTTTTTAATAAATGTGTGCATTATTAAATACTATTGAAAAGTATCATTGTATTTAACCTAAAATGCAATGGTCGCAAATAGGCTCCGTACAAGTACTGTTGTTTAATATTTTTTAAATATTTTAATACATGTACATTTGAACTCAACATTTATCAATAAGTGGTTTGCCTTCTTGTTTACTGCTAATGACTGCCAAATGTCACTCTCGGATAAAATACTGACTTCATTTATACATGCATATTTATATGACAATTAAGAAACGTAAAAGAAATATTGAAGGAAACTATTTGAAATACACTTCAAATTATTCAGTATTTGTACAAATAATATTTCAAGAGCTCTTTTTCACCGATTGCCGATATATAATACCATATTAAACCTATTGATAAAGTTAAATGTCTTCTTGACATACTTTATTAATTTACTAAAAAGGAACTTTATTGTGATCCAGCCATATGCTGTGTAACTATAAAGGAAGGGTCACATATTTTAATTGAAATAAATTTTAAGTAGAGGATATTTAAAAAAAGTCATTGAGAAGATCAGAATTTTCAAATGAACAGATTAAGAGACTTATAAATGTATAAGGTGTATGTCTTGTTGTTTCATACTGTTTTGGTGACACTTTTGTTTTGTGTCCCTTGTTGTTTTGATGTCTATGGTAAGTATCTTCCCTTTGCCCCTAGTTTTTATTTCTTTATTTCGCCCCCTCCCCCGAATTTCCTACCCCCTTCTCCTGTGCCCTTAACTTAGTGGTCCTGTTTCATACTGTTTTGGTGACACTTTTGTTTGTGTCCCTTGTTGTTTTTTCGTCTTTGGTAAGTATCTTCCCTTTGCCCCTAGTTTTATTTCTTTATTTCGCCCCCTCCCCGAATTTCCTATGATATCCCCTTCCCCTGTGCTCGTTAACTTAGTGGTCTTAGTGGTCTTTCTTTAGGGATTCTGTATTTATCTATTTTAGTGGTCCTATTAATCATTCATTTATTTATTTTCTTTGATTTCCTTCTCAGTTACATTTTAGTGATAAGCCTGACCGTGCTCTCCCTTGCGCCCTTTCCCGTTTTAATTTAGGATCCTCCTGGGCTCCTTGCCAATGGTTCATGTTCCTGGGTCGTGTGGGGTTTGCGTTCATTGAACGCCGCCTTTCCTTGTTCATCTTGTTTATCATATTGTATACATGTATACCGAACCGTAACAAACAGATAATGATTATCAATACAAGGTTCGGCAAGCAAGCAAAGAAATGTAAAGAAACAGAAAAAACTTATCCACATTCATGTATCCACCCTCCAAAAAACCCTACCAAAAACGCCTGAAACTGCAAAATCGAAACATAAATACACATGAGTGCCAAAGACGGCTCTGGTAGGTTCAAGTGCTCCCTTTCGCCGGTTTAAACAGAATTGATCACTTAAACATAATAATGTTGATTTTTTTAATCAACATCCACAGATGTGTACATAATACGGCGGTAATCATGGAACTTTCAATGTGACACATTCGAGGTGCCGTTCAACGGGAACTAGATAACATGGAATTTTTAATGGGTATCAGAGGTTTTGGTGCCTTTTGCGACAGTCGTTCCAACATTTCTCCCATCTGTCTTACATTGTTATGCTATTCAACGTCTAAATAACGGTCACTAAATTTCCGCTTGCTGTGTTTTTATCATAAACCCCGTCAAATCTGTGCGACAATTGTATTTTACTGAGGACTGTCTGAAATTCCATTTTATAGTTTGAAATTTTAAGATTTTTTTCAGAGTTTTAAAGTTATTTTTGGTTGTTTTGAACTTCTTCCCATACACAACCGTCCTCAATTTCTTTTAAAGATAATAAACTAGAAATTGATATGGAGTGTAATATAAATTGAAATTCTTCTTTGCTTCATCATGTATAGCATAATTATAATTCATTAAGATGTACCTACAATTACATTGTATTTTCGTATGTGGGAAATCATGGCAGGGTTATAAAATAAAAAGGTAGTTCAGAAATTTCACCTTATGATCACAGATGTTAAAAAATCCAACTTAATAATATCTAATTTGACAATTTAAACGGACTTAAATATAGTATGATCTGACATCGGACATCATAAACTATTTAATTTCTAAGTAAGGTTGTCATAATTTCGTTTACACATTCCCTTTTTAATGCTGAAATATTGTTTGTGAATAAAAGAGTTATTCCTGCAATAATTCATATAAATAACGTAAACAAATTGTATAATAAAGCTTGGCAAATACAATCGATTGCCGCCGATACCTGTGTTACACCATGGATTTTACCAGTGTTTACAATTTTACCATGACACCGCTTTCCAATATGGCCGCTTTCAATAATTTTCAACGATTAAAAAAATTAAAGTGGAATATTTAGACTTCTGTTCGAATTTGAAGTATGATAATTTGGAACCTTGCATAAAAAACGATTCTCTTTCAGGTAATGTAGACCGTTTCTTTGAAACTTTTCTAGTTTTCGCTCCCAACAACTTCTAATTGGGAAGCGTCCGTGCATAAAAATGCAGTTCGTGGTTGGACTTGGAAAAAGACAGCGCCCGTCCAAAATTATCTCGGTGTCTCTTTGACAAGTCTAATTAGTTGGACTACCCCAGACTGGGAGCCAAATGTCATAGGGTCAGAATGATGTGCAGCCCAATAGGTGGTTGAACAAGCTCATTCTTCCCTATTAATAAATAAATTAACTAGACTGTTAGACAGAGAATGTGTAATTTGAAAATTTTCTAAAACCTGCTAGTGTTTTATCAACTAGTTGTGCCAGATTTTATTATTGGTTTATTACGGTCTGACTAGTGCTAGCATCTTGCTAAACCAATGTTCAATATGTTTTTTAAACATAAATTAAGACAATGCCATTTACACATAGTTCAAGGACATGGGCACTGCAGTGTTACTTGCCTTCTGTACAGTGTTACAATCAACATGACAAATGATTGATGAATATGCAAGTCAAAACCTTTTACAGCAGGACCGAGTTGAAATAGTTCATTTAATTACTCTGGTCATATTTATTGACAATAATTTTGATCAACTGTTTTCAACATCGATGTGCGAGACATATAATCTCAGAAAACAGTAAGTTGTCCTTTAAAGAAATTCACTAACAATGAAAGAACATCAACTTAATACACTAGATGACAATGAAAAAAAGCAACTGAAATTTATGTCTATCAGCTGATCAAAATTTTGTTTTGTCAAAAATGTGTCACAGAAATCCACTTACCATGGCCTCTAAATCCGTCCAGACAGTGTTGTATGAAATTTCTAGCATGTCAACAAACTCCTCATCCCCATTGTAACAAACTGACATCAGTACATTCTTCGCCATTTTTCTGTTATAGCTGTATTAATCGCTGCGTCAAAGAATTTGTTTCTGTTTCACAAAGTAGCCATTTTTCTGTTGATATCTGACCGAAGTACTATGTTTATATCAAGTCACGTGACTGAGAAAAAATATAGTGCACAATTTAAATGCAGTTCGCAAACATTTACTGATAACTATATGTATTTGAAATTCCTTTGAGTGAAAGATATAGATACAATTAATGTGCAAGCACATTATTAAATTGATTTGACACAATTACAAATTCATTAGCGGAATGATACGGGCACTTGTCACACGTGTCTTTAATGTAAATAAACATGACGTCAAAATTACTAACTGTCACGTTCCAAAATTTTTAAGTAGGCTTGATCTGCTATGATCGAAAATATTTCACAACTTTTTATATTGATGACATGATACTTCATTTTTTTTAATGTCACCTTTTTTATTTCATTTATACTAAAATCATAGATGATAATTGGTGAATAAAATTTAACATGTACTGTATACGCGTACACTGATCTAGCTATATTTATATATATACTGTATATATCATCACGGATTTATATTACAAATATAAATCCGTGAGATATCATTAATAAATTTAACGAATCGGAAAAAAAGCAGATTACTTTTTTTAGTCCTTTAAACTGCAGTTTTCAATCTTTTAGCTTACGTTTTAAATAATAAATTTATGTATAACTTGTAATCGGCTGAAGAGCGAAGATAAGACAAAACAATAATGAAAACTTATGGAAGTTCAGATGCCAGATTATAGCCATTTTTAAAAACCCTTAGACCATGCGATAATTGTCCTGTTTGCAGAGGTTTTTGAATTTCTCGAAGAACCGGCCCTTTCTATTTTTTTTATTTATTTATTTCATTTGACACAACATTTATTTTAATGGGAACTGTAAATATTTTTACCTGCAGCCATAGACAAATGCATATATAAGCTTTCAGAAAATGTATTATTTTACTGATTTTGATATCTGGTTAATATGTTTTACTTGCTACAAGTTTTAAGTTTAGTAGGCACGCGTGATATTTTAACTGGCTAGGAAGTAGCCAATCTCTGTTATCTATGTCTCTGATTTATTCATTTAATTATTTTTTGCTAGAAATTAAGCTTGAATATTAAGTTAAACTTGCAATGTGGGGACATATATATAGTCCCACTATTTTGGCGCACCGGGAGGAGGGAGGGAGAGTTAAACGTATATATGAACCATAACAACCAACGCACCTGGTATGAAGAAGCTATAGGTTCTTGTACATTTGTTATTTTTCGTATGATTTTCATGAAACATGAACGATTACATTAAAATATATATCCCTGCTAAATGAACTAACAACATAGTACATAATAATTAAAAGGTTAAAGAATGACTGATTTTTCCCTCATTATTTGGAGTAAGATAGGTGTGTGAGAAAAACAATGATGTCTTTAATCATAATCTTTATAAATATACGACTTTGCTCTCTGGGTTGTGTTACAGCTCGTCTAACCTGGGATATACGATAACGTATGTCCCACAGGTCTAACGTGTGAAAACCATCATAGGGCCTAAAAGTTATTTCTAAACGTACATTAATTAATATACAGTAAAATGGCTCCTTACTGATATGATTTGTTTTGGTGCAAACATTGTATAATGAAACAGTTCATGTCAGGAAAAAAAATGGCACGTACGAGCACAATCCCACGGTATTTACACTAACACAAGGGATAACACAAAAAAGGTATACCCCCATTTCCTCCATTGTGGTTCTAAGAAAATCCACACTGGATAAGAATAAAAGAAGATAGCTAAGAAATCCGATTAATGACATGGTACTATTTTCTTAATGTTGGTAACATACTGAAGAAACACTCCGTGACGTACGTTTTGTGCTTTGGTTCTAATCCTTTTTATTTACTTAAAAAACAGATGGTGATTTGTGACCACACCCCATGGAATAGCAGGGGGCATGTCTCATATTATTTTGAACCCCGCCCTGCGAAGACAGGCGGTAAAATATTTGCTATAACCCATGTACTATAACGTTAGGTACATTGGTTTATTATATGTAACATAACAGATAAATGTATCCTACATAGAGCCTCCTTCAATATCGATTTGACAGTTGTGTATTTGTCCATTATAGTTTAATATTGCACTCATCAATGCAAAATAACCTAATTTACAGGCTTCTTTATAAACATTTTATGATATTATCAACAAGCAGACTTCTCAGTTTCACAGACTTCACATTTCTTTTCAGTTAAAGGCCCATCAAGCTTCAGAAATGCAAACGATTAATTTTAAAGCTTTTGATTTTTTATTACTCCTTGGTCATTGGTTATATAGCTGAATCATTTTCAACTTGTGTTTTTTTGCATAGCATTTTTTCACGTATTTTGTCTGGAAGTAAAATACCACTTTATTTACATGTTGCTTTATATCAAATTGTTTAACACATCGGACAGTATCTACTCCATGTGAAAATTGTGCAACTGAGGCTTAATGTGCCTCTCAGCCTGTAACAAGTGCAAATCAACTTTTAAAACAAAAACTGTAAAACTTGGACATTGTCATTCCATCACCCTACATAAACCATAAGGGACTTTTGTTACCAGTATAATACAGTATGTTCTGACTCTTTAATGTTGGTATTCCTTTTTAATATTTTGTAACTGAAAATCCCGTCACTAAAAATGTGTTTGTATTGTTCCAAATAAAACAAAAGCTATCAGTAGGACAGCATGCTCAACTATTCTCAGGGCTTAATATTGTAAAAAAAAACTTTATATGAGTACAGCGACCTCCTGCTGTAAACGGGTGAAATTGTAATGGTTGAAATTGTAATGGTGAACACGTGTGCAAAGTCATGTCTATGGATTTTCTGATGTGGTACACAAACTTTGAATGTATATTTCAAGTCGAAAAAGGGGGCATAAATCTGTCAAAATGCTTGATAGAGTTACCTCATGTGTACAGGTTGGGGTCGTAATTGTGAACAAGTGTGCAAAGTTTCAAAGCAATATGTCAATGGACTTTGAAATTATATGAGGTAGTATGCAAACCTTAACATAAATTCCAAGTCAAAAAAGGGCATAATTCTGTCAAAATGCTTGATAGAGTTACCTTCTCCTGTGTACAGATGAAGAAGTGTGAAAAGATTCAAACCTTTATGTCAATGGACTTTGAAAAATATTTGGGGTGGTATGCAAGCTTTAACATAAGTGGTTACGCAGACACTCAGGGGACTAGGATAGCTCTCTTTATTTTTCTAATAGTTGAGCTAAAAAGCTCAACAAAGCTATTACATAAGTACTGCAGACTACACATGAAACTGCCAACTCACCAATATCTGAATGCTTAATACATCATACCACAAGTTTTCATGAAGCCATAAAATCAAAACAGACTATATATAGAGTTTATATTATCATTTTTTATTATTTTTTTTATTTATTTTCAACAATTAGAGATCAGTTTCAAATTATTTGTCTTATTTTTTTTCCATTTTTTCAAACATATAACAATACATGTAATATGTATTCAAGCCTTTAGTCATGGTTAAATGAATTGATGTCATGACAAAACCAACGTAATGCGTTTGCGACCAGCATGAATCAAGGCCAGCCTGCGCATCCGCACAGTCTGATCATGATCCATGCTTTTCGCTTACAAACTCTATTACAAATAGAGAAACTGATAGGGAACAGCATGGATCCTGATCAGACTGCGCGGAAGTGCAGGCTGGTCAGGATTTATGCTGGTCGCAAATGCATTACGTTGGTTTTGTCATGACGTGACTCAATTGTATCATTGCTGTTCTAGTGAACGTTACACACTGTATTAATTAAACAACACAGTATTAAACTACTGATTTCAGCTCAAAAATAATCTGAACTACTTTCAGGTAGGTTTCATTGAACTAACCACTTCTGGTTCCGTAAGAGGACATATTGTTGTGACCCCCGAGACCCCAAGGTAGAAATGTAGACACATTCACCATTAGGACACTGCCCCCCTTATTTTCATGCTGTTCAATATAAGCCAGGAACCATCTTTCCAGATGTCAGGAATTGATAGTTTTATTTCTTCAAAATAATGTATGAGAAAGAAAATAACATTATGAATTATGTTGAAATTCTGGCAAATCATTAAATGTTAGCAATCATTTTTTTTTTCAAAGCACAAACAGGGATCATCAGACATTTTAGTAATTTGCTAAAAATGTTATTTATCTGGCTTCAGTATTTATAATCTGGTAACATGATTTCCATCATCGGTTACCCACGGTATATATTACAAACATAATACATCATCGTTGGTTACCCATGATAATATTACGTACATACTACATCATCGATTACCCACGGTATATATTACGTACATACTGCATCATCTAGATAATGTAGATTATACCTACTATATACACGGTGGGTAACGTACTATATACCGTGGGTAACGATGATGCAGAATTTCTTGTCCATGTAACATTATCTTGATCAAATTTTATAAGAAATCGGAAAACCACAAAAGTATAGCAATCAGAAATTTTTCACACCAGGGTAAACTTTGAAGTATGAGAAATGAAATGTATTTACTATTGCAAAATTTAAAATTAGTCTAGGAATGTGGTCATTATGAGACAAATTTGTGCACCAAAACAATTTAAATATTCACGAGTATATGATACATATGAAGAAGTCAAAATGAAGAGCATTGGTCTAATGGTTTAAATGTCTACCTCGTGTAGGGATTATGGGTTCAAGCCCCAACTCTCAACACAGGTAAGAAACAACCTGTAAACTGCATGTAAATTAATATCATTTAACTGATGGTTCATCAAAAACTCTGAAATAATATCTAAAGAAATAGAATCTAGAGTTAACAATGTTTTATTGGTACCTCTAAATATGGTTTATGAATCAGTCACTAGGAATATACAAATTATAATTTTAGCTTATTGACTTATAAAAATGAGACATGTATTGAATATCACAAATTCTAAAATGAATAACATATATTCAGTAATAGATCAGGGACCAAGGTCATAAAGAAATTTTCAAAGCTCAAACTCATATCTCAGGTATTTGATTGGTC